CCCCAAACACCCCTCAATTAAACAACCCCCACACCACCCAAAAAACCAATCTACAACCCAAAAAAAAAAAAACCCGACTATTTCCCACAGCGCACTCCCTTATCCACATACATACATACATACTACAGACTTAGAAAACCAAATCTTGTACTTTTCCCCCTATATAAACCACTGGTTTACTTGAGTATCTCTCTCTCTCTCTCTCTCTCTTTAATTTTTAACTTTTGATTGTTTGGGGAGTTGGTGGTAAGAGGGAAGGGAAGGGAAGTGTGGATGAAAGGACAGGGATGTAACAGTTCATAGAGAGGAAGTGAATTTCCTGGGCGTGCTGGTAAATACTCCGTTTGAGGGTTAGTAGTAATGAGTATCTTCCAGGGCTTACATACCTAGATAGTGCGAATCCAAGAGGATAACGTACTACCATACCATGCCTTACCATACACTACGAATAAGAAAACCCCACGAAGTAAAGATTCCCAGGTCTAATCCCAATCCCAATCCTGATTCCAGCAAAAAAGAACGCTTTACGAAAACCTCACACTTGATGACTGGTAACCACAGATCATTCATAAAAAACGAGGGATACTAAGCTACGGAGGTTTGACCAATAAATGACTACCGAGGAGAGGAATGTACACAAAACCCTTGCTTCAAAGATGCGATATGCAACAAAATACTCCCGAACAACTTGTAAGACATTGAATCTATCCTGCAATTACTCCAACACTATCATTCTCTCCCCAAAACTCAAAGATCGGTTTTCATAAAAGGCAGAAATTCGATGCATGTCAGAGCCGTCACTCTCACAGACGACCTCCAAAGTGTACATCCGACCTACAGACTTGCGTTCCATCATTTCATTCGTATTCGCGAGCAAGGAAAAAAAAGAGGCGTCCCCTTCATTCCTCACATTCCACACCCACATCATAAACAACCCGCCCAAGAATGTAGCACACATTCCAGATCCGGAAGATCACGTGTGGGACCCTACCTTCCATTGTCAACAACATCCCTTGAACTTGCACCGCAATACACCATTGCAATTCGTGTTATTACCTTGAAGGCAGCTTACTCTCGTCATTGAAAAAGAAGATTCAACACCCAGAAAGATATTCCTCAAATTGAGAAAACAGGAGGCAACAAAAACATGTCAGCACGCGATCCAAACGACGAGCCAATGGACTCTTCCGACGAAGAAGAAGCCGGAGAGGAAGGACAGGAAGAAGAAACTCCAGCCGTGGACATCATTCCCCCCGGACCACCAGGAGAATTCATCAAACCCACCAAATTCTCCACACCCTACCGCTCCATTTTCTCCCTCACCCCACCCAACAACACGCGAGCCGCGGTGCAGAACTTGGAACACGCGCCGTGTTCCTACACCTGTACGCCGGGTCTGGCACCCAGTCTATTGGAGCTCAAACAACACGCCCACGACTTGGTGTGTATGATCAAGTACCTGACCATCAGCACGGTTCCTGGGATCATCGACGGTCTCAACGCCGCGGACAAGGCGAAGAGTAAATTGAAGTTGGATGAAATATGGACTTTTGAAGATGGGGAGACGTTTGACTTTCTTAATGACCTTACGAACCCTTACACAGGACCAGGAGGCAACCAAGAAGAGGATTTTGTCCAGGCCGTTGCTGAAGCGCACAAACAACCCTTAACATCGCTCCTCAACGTGCTGGAAGAGAAGAACATCCCCGCAGAAGGGGAGGCTCGTCCCAAACAGGTGGTCAGGAATATATGTCCTTTACATAGGGTGGCGGACCTCAAGACCATCCCGCCGAAAGGGCAAAGTTTGCCGTATGCGACGCATCAATCGCTGATCAAGCATGCGAATGATATCTTGGAGCTGTTGGATCATGAGTATAGTGCCAAGGGAGGAATTCTCGCTATTCTTCCGACGAAGGCTGAGAAGGAGGATCGTGAGAAGGCGGAGAATACCCTGTTGGGACAGATGATTTTGTATACCCAACGTCTGGTACAGCGACTTCATGATCTTGAGCGTTTGTATGCAAATGCTATGGATGTCATCGCAGGAGAAGCTGTCGTACCTCCTCAGGCACTTTCTCGCCTCGGACCTGATGGCCGTACGGGTCGTGAACTGGTGTATCCACAAGATCGCTTCGTGCTCGCCAACGCAGGGGAAGATGTCTGGAATCATCTCTCTCACGAATTTGACAAGAAAGACCGAATCGATGAAGTGATCATGGAGTCATACCGCCAACTCGGTGTCACGGGAGAAATGATCTGGCAAAAGAGAGGCGGGCAAGAAATGGATCGAGGCATCACGGCCATCGATGTGACCACTCGATACTACCGCATGCGAGGCACCGATCCCAATGATCCCAAAACCATCTTCGTCATCCCCGCCTATGAGACGCATCCTGGGACGAAAGTCACACGAGACATGGAGCAAACGCCTACCGTCGTCACGGTGGTCAAGCCCGTCTGGCCCGAACGCGCCAGTTTATGGGAACAGAAACACCGCGTCGACATGGACGAACTGAAGAAGTTCCGCGCCTTCTCCGAGGCGCAGGCTCGCGACATCGAGCGTAAAGACCACGAGATCGTAGCGATGAGAACACAATACGAGCTGCGTGCGGCCGAACTGCGACAAGAACAAGCCGAAGTGGCCAGCTTGCGAGACACCCTCGAAGGCCGTGGCAACGAGAACAAAAAGGCGCAGGTCGAGGCCCTCCAAAAAGCGACCATCGATGCGGCAGCCGCCAAGAAAGACCGCGAGGAAGCGGCGAGGGAGAGGAAAGAAGCCGAGTCCTTGGGCCGGCGAATGGACCGGCAAAAGAAGCAGTTGGATCAGAACCGTGATGATTTGACCAGGAACTTGCAGGTGTTGCAGCGCTCACAGGCCGATGATTACAACCATCGCGCCAAACAGGTCATCGAGCAAGACCGCCTGGCGGGTGAGCAGCAACTCGACCTGGCCAACAAATTAAAGAGCGCCTGGCAGGAGCAGATCATCCAGACACAGATCTTGACGGAGCAGCTGCTTGCCGGCGACGCACTCACGGAACCACCTTCCGCAGCTGCCACAGCCGCCGGGAAGAGGAAGGGCCAGAGTATCGTCGACGCAGCCGTGGCCAAGTCGAATAGTCAACTGGTNACTCACGGAACCACCTTCCGCAGCTGCCACAGCCGCCGGGAAGAGGAAGGGCCAGAGTATCGTCGACGCAGCCGTGGCCAAGTCGAATAGTCAACTGGTCAGGGCTCCTCTAGCTGGAAGTGCCAGTGCTCCAGGTACTCGCAAGGCAATTGACGCACCTGCAAGATCCGCCAACCCTATCCTAATTGCCGCCGAGCAACGGGCCATCGCTGCTCAGGCTGCTATTTCTGGTGTTGCCCGAAGTGTCAGCTTTTCCATGGCCCCGTCGGTACATGACTATGACTATGAGGAATCTCGTGCAAGTAGCCCGATGGGCTATGAGTAAAAGGTGGAGACTGGTAGTGGGTAATGGCCTGGACGGGGAAAATTGAGGTTGTTTTTTATTTTCTTCTGGGGGATATCTTATATCTTGTGCTCTTCGTCCTAATCTTTGGACATTACCTGTTCATTTGTATTAGTTTATTGAAAGCCAATGAAATTCAAAACTCAAACTTGCCTATCCAGATTCCTTGTCGTGCTATAACCCGTCTCCAATATGACCAAGAGGTACAATGGGGACCGACGACTTTAGAAATGGGTTTCATATTGCTATCTATCTTGATATCATACGAAAGATTTACCCTGCAAAGCTCAAATCCCTAGCACAACCAGACGCCCCATGACCCCCGTGAAACTCCATCTAGCAGAATCCGAATCCGAATTCCTCATCCAATGGGCTTAACCTTCTTCTTCTTCTTCTTCTCCCCACCCTTCTGAAAGTCCCTCCAACTCCCAATCCGCTGCTCCCTTGTACTCTCCCAATCCTGCTCATGCTCCCTCTTCCTCTTCCTCACCTCCATCTCCTCATCGACCTTCTTCTGCTCTCGACCCTCCTCCTGCATCTGCGCCTTAACCTGTCTCCGCCGTCTATGCTCATTATCAATCAGGACCAACTTAGTCTTCTCCTTCCAATCGCGGGCGAACTTTTCCGTCTTCAACTCCTCGCTATCTACCGTCCACTTATTCTCGCGGATCAACAACATGCGCGCATCGGCGATGGCTTCATCTAATCGCTCCCGGTGCTTCTCATCCATTAACTCGGTCTGCGCCTTTTTCAGCCGGTCGAAGGCATCGGGCGCTTGGGGATTCGTCGTTTTATCCGGGTGGATGAGGAGAGATTTCGTGCGGTAGCATTTCTTGATATCCGATTCTGGGATACCGGGTTGGAGGTCGAGGACTGCGTATCTATTCCTTCCATTAGCATCCCTCTGTCTCCTCAGTTGTAGGAGGTAACTCACGCATCTAAACGAAAAGCCTTCAAAATACGATCAATTTCTGCATCCTGCCCACAATGATCGCATTAGTCTTCCAATCTTTCATTTCTCAAAGTGAGGGGGGCCTCGGAATCGGACATGACACGGGTAAGGCTCGATGGGGAAAAGCTTACTTTCTTGAACTCTCTCTCCTCCGAGTCGAGAGCTTCAAGTGCGTCGATATCATCGTCACTTTTGGGGGGTTGAATTGTCATGGCTCACCAAGATGCCGTTGAACAGATGGTGCTTTACGGTTTTGGTCTGTCGGGGTTCCTTTTTTTTCTTTGCTTTGCGCGCGCTGAGTGGTGGTGGTGCTATGTTGGTCTTCCAAGCTGAGGAGGGAAATGATAAGGCGCGTTGAGACTGGGGGTTACACACGATAAGGTTGAGATGGTATTGATGCCTTGATTTTGAGGCATCAGTTCTTGTTGGTCATGTTTTCTAGTACTTCTGGTTGTTTCCATCTTTGCCCTTTTTCTAGCTTTATTATTATATTATTTTAAAGTGTTTCTTCAATTTTTGCCCCATAAACTTGCCCTTAAATAAAGCTCACAAGCACATCCCCTTCAAATCCTACCTAATTCCCTCACTTCACCCCTCATTCCCATTCCACAACCTCCCTCGCTTCCCAAAAACCTAAAAAGAACAAAACAATATACCCATCTCCTAACATAAACCCACCGCCTCCCACTACAACCCCCACAACAACAATCACCATCATCCATTAAAACCTCCATTCCCACAGCCATTTCCCACTGAAATTCCCCACACACAAAACCAAACCAGAAATCAGATTTCCAATTTAACAACATATATAAAAGCTTCTGGCAAACCTCTTACTAAACGCCATGGAAAACGGTGAGGAAATAGAGCAGGGTGTTGTCTGTGCGACACGTTTTAAGTCTTCAATACCCACTACATCTACAGAGCCACATATACGATTCTGCTCATACCAGCAAAGAGATACATTCATTCCCACGCCATGGTTTTACTTAGAAAGAACTATCGTGGAAAAAATCCGAATTATTACCAACTGTCGAAAGTATTGTTACTGTCGGGATATCTGTCACTGCCACTTCAAAACATGGGGGAAGGGGGGTGAAAATTCAGATATGGATTGGATTTTGGTAAGTTCTTGATATTGTAATCTCACGGATTTTTAATGAAGTATATTGTTCTTATCTTGCTTTCAAATTCAACTAGGTCATGTTTTTCTGTAGTTCGTGTGTGTTACCTTTACTCTTGCCCTTCCTGCAGCTTGTTGTTCTATTAAGAAGATAAAGTGAAGACATACACTATTCACCCTCACACATACAATTTGTTCAGCTGTACATGTATTTCTTGATCCCATCAGTACCTTATGCAAAGTCCAGAAGGGTTTCAGAAATCACTGCATATAAGCATGATTATAATAAGAAGCTTTTGTACAATGTAATGTAGTTCTTTCGATCATGTTATCGAAATACTATACGTCGTCTGGTAAGCGATGATAATACAAGTATTTGAGTATGAAATGGAATAGTATCATCAAACTCATTGTCATTAGAATCGGTTCCTACCTATCTGACAAAGTTGATAAGTATGGGTATCCTCATAATGCGACCTCCTTATAATGCTACCTGCAGTCCTCCAAGCCGGCGCTCGAAAGGAATCTGCAGAGAGGGCGTGAGAAAGGTTCAAACCCTCGACACAAGACATAGTTATTTGGGTTTGAATCTGGCCACAGGGGATTGCACCCTTCTTTTATGTACAGTCAGGGTTATGACGAAGATATAACGGTATACAGTACCTATATCTTTGAGATCTCGTACTCGGTACCTTTTTCGTGTTATCTAGAACTACGTGAGGGCCACCAACGCAGATTCATTTTTGGACCTCGTGAGATAGATGATCTCTTTGTTGTACCATCTCCTCACGCTGGGTCTGGCTTCCCAGAAGTGGGAAAGTGGTGAAAGAACCTCCGAAGGGGTAAAGCTGTGATGCGATTGAAATAAGGGAATAACGGTTTTCTCGAGAGCGAGTATAAGCTTCGGTCCTAGGAAGACCCATTTGCTAAACAGAGCCTCAAGTCAAATTGGCGATCTGAGTTCGCTAAAACTTCGAAAATGGGCGGGGATTTTGACACTTGCTTTCCCCCTTTCCAAGTCCGGTTCTGTTGAATAATAAGTAGCATATACCACTTGAGCACTAAGGGCAGCATGAGAATGGTACCCTCGCAGATTCTTGTTACTTTGATACACTTGCATGTCTATGATAGGTTAAGTGAATTGACGAAGCATTTTAATCAAAGGTTCAATTAGTTTAGATTTCTTCTCGAATGCCACTCTACCACATTGCGAATTCATCCAGCTGATTCTGAGCTAGCTCTCTCCTCATACATTACGATTAAAATAAAAGTCTCCTATGCCAAACCCATAAATAATTCCAACATCGCAGGATAATTTGGAGTACCAAGTCCTGTGACAGGGTCCCAACCAGCTGAAGCAGAGAACCCACTTGTACCACATCCTTCATTGGTACCTGTAGTGATATCATGAAGAACACCAGGGTTGGAATACTGCAAAAAGTCAGTAAAAGCCTCCAAATGGTACTGTACTGTAGGAGAAAGAATTTCTTACCAAAGTAGGGTTCACAAAACCAACCGTCGACTTTCCAGCTGCAAGTCTCTCTTCATTAATTCTCGTAAGAATAGCCCCAAAAGCCGGGGCACTCGCAGAAGTACCACCGATCAATCCCTCTCTTCCATTAGAGAAAATAACAATGTTATCTCCGATAGCTTCAACATCTGGATAAGCTCTGCCGGCACTGTTGTAGAGACCTCCACTTGCGCCAATGTTGGTTAGGTTGACTGTGGTGTAAGATTTATAGGTTGGCTTGAATCTCGTGAGATAGTTTGAGACTGCTGTTGCTTGGTAGGATGGTATCTGGTAGAGGTTGCTGAATCCACCTCCGGATGGGAAACGGCTTGTGGCTACCTCAGCATCGGTTGCTACGTTTGCTCCTTTTGGCAGGAACGTTGATCCGACTGCAGTAAGATACGGACAAGAGGCTGGGAAATCGGGGGAGAAAACTTTGCCTAGTTACTTGTTAGTTGTAATTGACAACCAACGCCCTTCGAAAGTTCACTATTATAATATAGACGAAGGGAGGAATCTTTCAGCAGCTTACCCGAAGATCCTAGACAGTTTCGTCCTTCAACACCAGAATCCCCAGAAGAGATAACGATGGACACTCCTTGAAGACCAAGTTTCATGAACTCAGCACATTGTCGTCTTTGGTAGGCAACCGGAAGATCAATCTCGTCACCTCCATACGAGATGGAAATAACATTTGTCTACCAGTATTCAGCCACGACTCCTCACAGGAGGCTGATCAAGCTCACAGGCTTATAAACACCACATTGAAGAGCACCCTTGTAAGCACCAGCCTGATTAGAAGGATTCGGGTATTGCGGGTCTAAAGGATCCTGAGTCTCAAGGCAATAAGAACCATCGAGGGCATAAAGGAAATTGTTGAGAAACCCGTTATACTGGTAGTCGTTTTCGGTGGGCGGGTCATCGGTCTGGAAAAGAATCGTTTTCTAAGGGTAAATAATGGGCCATGCGATTTGGAAGTCCAAGTTTGATTCTATCCCAGCTTGGGAGACGGAAACGGGTGCAACTGCGCCGTCGATCGCATTCAATGTTGGTGCTGTACCTCTTAGGATGTTTCTATGTTGTTTGTGAGATAGGATTTGAGACGGCTATTCCAGATAAACTCACTTTGCATATTTCGCCCAGAATGAATTGAGATCGGCTTGAGAGTAGACATCTCCCAGATCCTCAAAGATTCCCATGGCGTTTCCGGAATCTGCCAAGGTTGGCTCGGTGATATTGTACAATACTGGCAAATAAGCGACATCAGTGACTGTTTGGTTCTGAAGGATAAACGCATTGAGAACAAACCTTTGATACATTCTGGAGTGATCATAGTGTCACAGCCGGTCGGTGCTTGAGCCATAAAGTCCGGCATCGGTCTGAAATCCGGGGGATGTACCACACGATTCTTCCCTCCAGTAACTCCAAAGGTCCTCTTGTCTACTGATCCCTTGCTACGCTTACGCATGGGTATGTGAAGTTTAATTCCAGGAGTAATATAGTCAATGTGCTCTTGAATATGAGCCGGAACATGGTACCTGTGTTCTGAGATTAGAAAAGGTTTTCATAAAATAGAAACGAACTTACTGGTCACACGCGATAGTACTCTTGCCATTCTCAGCATGCTCGTAAACATGATACTCAGTTTTGAGTAATGACTCGAGCTCAGAAGTAGCAGCATCGAATTGCATCCATTGTTTGTTGGCTGATTGGGAAATAGAAGCAACTGGAATACCGGACTCTACAAGCCAGGAAATGATTGCAGCAGTCGTTGTTTTGTGTGGAGCGAAGATATCAGCCACTTCTTCAGCAGTGTGGTGTTTGCCATATTTTGCGGAGTCAGGAGAAGAGCTATAAGTATGTCAATAAATGGTTTCGCGGTTTGGGAATTGGGTGAGATCTCACACTTCCATCAAGAGATTGTGCCCTTTCTCGAGATTTCTCTGTGTCATGCCAATTCGAACAGGAATCTTAGCAGACGCATCAAGTCTATCACGCTTGATCCAAACATGTGACGTTACGTCTCGCTTCTCGTGGACATTATGAGTACCTGGGAAGGGAACAGCAGCGACCGAGAGCACGAAGGCACCGAGGAGAGAACCTCGTGAGAAGAACATGACTGAATCGAAGGATCAACGACCTTTGATTCATTGCTTTTTACGGGACGTTGAAGGACTTTATAAGAACGGGTGTGGACTACCCTACATAGAACAGACTTGATATTCAGATAAACAGGGTATGAGTTGCGACTGACCACTTACAGATAGGACAACTGACAAAACAGTCTGTGCCGTTTTTTAAAATTGACAAGCATTAGTCAACCTTCAATCGAATCTTGATGGGATCCTAGCCGCTAGATGAAAATCTTGGATCGACACCTGCCAAGAGAAGAACACAGAGGAAGTGAGCCAATAGCCACATTCCGCATTCAGTATTTTACAAAAAACCAGGATGATGAGGCTCGATAGCAAAAGTAAAACGGCAATAAACAACTAGGTCTCGTGCTCCTAACCTTTTACAATGCGATAATACTAACATCTTTAGGGTGCTAACCTATACTGTTTCCGGTAGGTATCTAACATGGTTTATTGTCTTTTCAAAGCTAGAGCAATGATAGCTAGTCACTGTTGTATTTCTTGTTTTCTCGATGGTGTGAGAAGAGGCTTGTGTAAAGAAAATATACATATGATAAGGGCCCTTGAATCGTCAAGGGTTGCCATATCTCCGCAATCTGTGAAATGGCTTCAACCACCAGGCTATTGTAGCAGGGATAACAAGAGCCACTTCATCGCCGAGATAATCGTGCAGCCTCTCAGTGATGCATGTCAGTGGGATCAAAAGCTTATCAGCAGCATTTGGTTGCAGTGACGGTTGCCAAGTTCAGGTACAGCTACCCCTAAGCTTGATATATACAGGGTTAGTGAGCTTGCAGAAAGCCTGCTTTTTTATCACGGGCCAATATGAAAAAGGGTAGGGCGCCAAAGATCTTCCGCGAGACCGAAAAGGGGGTCGCTTAACCTAACCCCCTTCTATACGCTCCTTGCGAGCATGGGCAAAACAGACTGGAGAAACACGTAGTACCAAGAGATTTGAAAGCAATCAATCAAGTGATTGAACAGAATAGAATTGAGTTGAAAATGACTCGGTGCTCTGATATCTGTCTTATCAACCGTTAGCACTGGCTATAAACGCTTTCAGGGGGGCGTCATGAATCGATTCCACTAAATATCATTAGCAACAAATTCTGTGAAGTTAGTATTCCAAGTCTATCTAGACGTGAGGGAAGGAAATGCCATTCAGTGGTTGACATCATCCACTACCGGAGGTACATACTTTTTGTTTCCGACACCTTCCTCATTGGGAGATACCACTATATTGTAAGCTGCAAAGGCGACAGGCAATCTGATCCCCGAGGAAAATCGGCTGGCACCCCGCATGACCCCTCTTCCTGCAACCATATCGAGTTGCTTCTTTGGGATGATCGACTGGAGATCTCTCGATTATCCTAGGAGCTAGATGGGGGTATGATCAAAGATAGTGGTAGTCTCTGAAGATTGCAGTCGCGACGCAAGCTCAGAAGTCATCAGCGTCAACCATCAACATGCTGTCTCCCCCAATATTATATTGGGCATGTCTCAACAACAGACTAGAGAGCTGTTAAGAGAGTTTTGGCTCAGAGTTGAGTGCAAGTTCCCTTTTACATTAAAAGACTGATGGATGTTGAAAGGCGGGGGGCGGGGTACAGTAGTTCGCTCGGCCGGGATCGGCCCCAGTTGCGTAGAACCTCGTTGCAGAATATGTTTTGACATCATGCTAGTGATGAACATGAAGACAGAATGAAAGCTTGCGATTCATAGCATTCGCTATTTACACTTGCAAAGATAATAAATCAATCATGCTATGTTGATCTCGTGATATAGCTGTCTTGTAAGAAGAAGTTGTTCTCGAGATCTTTGGAGGTTCTACTTGATGTACTCCATCTCACTAGCGAGAATATATTAAAGAATTCTTCTTCCAATCGGCTTTAAATATATGCTTGTAGGACAAACCTTTCAAAATATGCTAAAGTGTTTCGTGGGCTACCAACGATAAGCGAGTTGTGCCACACCTTTTACACCATAAACAACATGATTAGCCTCCAAAGTAGTATCTCGAAAAATTAACGTTTTTCACGAAGCTTATTGCGGTGGGTTCTAGCGACTTCCTAGATACCAAGCTCATTCACCAAGGGCTGCATAATCCGCTGTCACATTAACGGCTACTATCACCAGCTTAAAACTCGCGCATGTGAAAAAGAAAGAGATTTTGTTCTGATTTAGCTCGAGTTCTCGCTTGACACTTGCTACTAGTTCGATAAATCATACAGTGAAAACAGATTTTCGGGCAGAGCAAGAATATTTAGTCCCAAGTAATTCATACTACATGTAGATGAGATAGATACTATATTTTGATAAGAAAGCTATAAGGTCTTTGTGCTTCAGTGAAAAGCACCGACAGTATATTGAATTATTTAAGCTAAAGAGGCTTGTAGCACGAATAAAGTGGGTATTATTTATTTGTTATCAGAGCATATTCCTATTATGCGTTTCTGACTCGCTGTACACGAGGGATTCACATTAAAATATAAAATCGAGTAATATTCACTTGAACTCCCCCTAAGTCGCCTCAAAATCCTACCTTCTAATTGGCTAAAATTCTCTCTAGAATTCTATATTTCCATGGAATCTAGTTCTATTTTCCGATCGTTGTTATTACTGAACATGCTGGAGTTCACCTTCTTTGTTGATTTAGCATGTGACTCTTGCTTAGCGAGACTCCCTGTACATTCAATATGGATCCATATGAGTCACGCTCGTCTCATTAGGAAGGATTTATGATACAGGAGAGCTCCTATATGAGAGTACAGCTCCCACCTTAGCTAGTTCTTTTTTATCCATCCACTTTTTACAGCTCATTCTGACAGTCTCCTGTTTTGTCCCTGACTGTTGCCTTCATCTGCTTCCTTCGCAGTATGCGGAGCAGGACCGAGCGAGGACAACATTCAAAGGATTAAGACCACTCAGAATAGTACCAGTATTGACACGGAAGAAACAATTCCGATTTACAGTTCTCTTTATTATCCCGAGACCATACATTACTTTTCCCAAGCTCACATTGTTAACAATTACCAAGCTAGCATAACAATAAAAGAAAAGCACCGAAAAAAATCGATCATACCATCGATACCAAGACGCTTGGCTCAAAGATAGAAGGGCTCTCTTAAAGGCTTATCTTGACACGCTGACTATCATGGGTCAGATTTACGATATTGACCGCCAATTCACTTTTAGCTTGTACGTATCCCCCGCGGCTGTTAGGGGAGTTGCGTATTATAGCGAGATATCTCGCTTAAACGCCCGAGATGAATCCACGCGGGTTCGATGAATTTAATTTATCAATTCGCCCTTGTCTGCGATGATTTAATTCTTATAAGCTCACTCAGGATTTCCAGCCTTATTTAATTCCATTGGCCTAAATATATAGTGTATATACCCTAGAATGCGTTTAAGTTAAGAGTCGTTTAAATCACTCAGCGTACTAAATACTAGAAGCATTTTAACCTACAGTCCTATAGTCACGTTATAGACCTTCTGAGGCTCTTTCAAGAACTTCGTCCCCACTAGACACTAAGTCTCAAAATTCTCAGTTCTCTAGGCCCTTAGAGGTACGTTCATTATTATAGAAAAACAGTTAGCGACAAACACTCTCTAATACTCGAAATTATTCAAAGTCCCTAGTACAAAGAACAAAGACATGTATTGTATTTCCCGATTCGTCCTTGGCCTCTCTTGATACATGTGTTAAAATACACGTGAGATATGCTAATGAGGTAACGAGCGTAGACTAACTCGTATCGCTTCTTAATCCCATCCTTTGATGCCACGACACTACATAATACTCTCATGGCCCATCTCTGCTTCTAGAATTTTAGCCATCCTGAATTATATGTGAGGTAGCTACATACTTGCTTGTGATTTCCACGCTTATCTTACCTATCTCGTAGCTTGTCTCTTAATAAACAGGTTCCTGTATTACTGTGGCATGTGTAAAGACGAACTCCTCTTTGGTAATATGCAGAGTCTGGAAAACTTCAACATCAGAGCATACCTATCTCAAATACGTCTAGGACTACGAAAACATGTCTTAGAATCTCGTTATGTAACCTTTCCAACAAGAAGCAAAAGGTTTTCATCAACAATTAGTTAGTCGTGTGAAGCTTGCTTACTACTTACAAGCTGTAATAAATGTAAACTCTATGTGGGTCCTGTGTATTCGGTCAACCACCTGATCAGTATGTCACCTTCTATTGAATTGGTTAACTCGTCTCGGAGCGATTATCAATTAGTTACCCGTGTACGTAGTACTGAATGCCGAGTAGAACTGATGGTTGAGTTGGGAGCTGCACCTGCAAGTCGTTGCTGATTCTGAGATGCGACCCTAGGGGTGGTATTTCTGACCACTGATTAGGATGGGTAATCAGGTTATGTTGGTGTTGGTGTTGGTGTTGGTGTTGGTGCCACTCTTATCCAAAATTAATCGGCATAACTCCAACAATTTATATATAGAAATGGCCTATTGCAGTTGGTAGTAACCCTTTCGCGTTAGTATCCCATGTCCCGGTCCAATCCTTGCGAGTCTAACACATGTATGGATGGAATAATGCACTGTGATATTGCCTCTCCAAAATAAAAACCAGGAAGAAACCCCGGTTTTGCCCGCAACCCTATGAATCAAAGAGAATCAAGCATCCAACACCCCCCGCCCAATTCTCACCAAATCCTCATTCAGTAATATTTCCTTTTCAATCCCATCCACCGCTTGCTTTAGTAGCGTGGCTGAGATCTCACTGATATCTACCTTGGGAAGGCCAATGATCGTGCTACCAATCGTCTGCACGACTTTCATGACGGGGCCTGTCTTGCCTGGTGCGTCGATGAGACCTGATTTTGCTACTGCTGCAAGCACAGTTCCATTGGATTCTTTTGCGAAATTTAGGACTTTGCTCTCTACGAGTCCCTATTTTGTTTTCTAAGTGACTATGAAAGATCGATTTGTCTGGATGATGATGATGGGATGGGGATGAGAGGATGGAGTGAATGAAATGAGGGGAGTGAAAAGTGGCATACCCTGATCAAACAATAGTCACCCAAGACCCAGGGCTTCTTGTTTGGGTCCTGCTCACTGTTGGCACCGCTGCAGTAAATGAATCGAAAAGGGTTGTTGGTAGTGTTGGTAGTGTTGGTTGGATCACTGCGGGGCAATTTGGTGATGGTTTCCACGCCAGTGACGGTGTAATCTAGGCAAATCCTTCGTGCTTAATCGGCCGTCATGGTCTTGAGTTGGGAAGGAGTCACCGCGATGAGCCTAAGATGACCCAAAAGTAAATTCAACAGTTAGATTTTGACACAAGCAGCTACTGTAGGTAGGTAAAGAAATGGCAAACCAACCAAATACAAGCATCAGCGCCGGACAATTCTTTCTTCACACTCTCTAAGTAGTTCTCAAAATCTTCACAGATGACCGAAGTGAGTTTGGAGGTATCGACGTTGGGGGCGACATTCTTGGGGATTTCGGTCTTGCGACGCGCGAGAGCTGCGATGGAGGTGATGGCGGGGTCGGAGAGGGCTTGTCTGATTACCTTGGTGCCAACAAAGCCGGTGGAACCTGCCACGATGAGCCTCATGATGGATATGTTGCGGTTTATAATGATAGAGAGATAGTCGAGGAGGAGGTAGAAGGTTTGTGGTTTATTTTGATTGAGCAGAGCCTCGCTTAACTCAGTCCTACATGCTAGCCTAGCCTAGCCTAGCATGCATCAGCCTTTGCCCGCAAAACCTGCCCCCCATAATTCACCCCGTCTATAATGCCACCCCCCGTGGATATATAGACATATTCCCCATGCCCAGACATGGCCGCTGCCGTGGGGTCTTTCAGCTGCGTCGCCACGGTAGTCTGTACGCCCGCCGGTGTGATCTTCTGTAGCGAGGTCGAATGCACGGAAACATAAGCATTCCCCGCAGCGTCGAGGGCAAAGTCGTCATAGGCGTTCAGCAGACTGATTTCACCCGCGAGCCGGGCAATGATCTCAATAGGCCCTTCCTTGTCCCCCTCAGCATTGATCTTGACGCGCGCAAAGGTTCCCTGGCCGGAATTCGAGAAGTACAGGTAGTCACCACTACTCGAGGTGTGCAGGCCGTTAGCGCCCAAAGGGACTGTGGTCGGTCCCCCGGGACCCAGAGCTGCATCTGAGAAGGAAACGTCCACCGCGCGGGTTTGTGTGTTGATTCTCAGGATGCGCCCCCCAATGGAGTCGGCGCTGAGCAAAATATGAGGTTTTTGAGGGAGACTTGTGAGGCCATTCATCATGAGCGTTTTGTTGACCGGAATTTGATCCACGATGATAGCGACCTGATCATTTCCAGCGTTGGGGTTGGTACTTGCAATGGTTGGCGGCAGCGAGACAACATAGATGGCCATGCTGTCGTTGGCAAAGATGAATTCCGAGTGAAGTCCCCCACTGATGGCATACAGGTTAGGCTCGATGGTTGCGATACCCGTGAGGCCAGTGCTACCGGGCAGTATAGCCACGACGACAGGCGCCGGTTTGGCAGCATTCGGGTCCAGCGAATAGAGCTTCCCTGTGTTGAGGGTGCTGAGGAGGAGGCTACCATTACTGCGAACGTGTATATTCTCAATAAAGGTCGCCTGGGGAAAAGCATAGATCTCCTCTACGTGGTCGGTGTTTGCGGTAGACATAATTGCTGGGAGTAAGAACAAGAGCGTGAGCGTGAGATGAAGTTGGAGAGGGTGATGGAAAAACATCTTTCTTATAGCCGACGACCTGGTTTAAGCGAAATATTCACCAGGGGTCGTCAGAATTCTGGACGCAGTCCTAGATTTTAGCGGAAAACATACGAAAAACGCCCCACTTTACTAAATCAATACGCTAAGGAACAATCCAAATAATCTACGATCAAAAATATAGATCCAGATAGATAGGAGGTTCAATACATATACTTCTAACTTTGTATGAAATATACTATTCTATTATACTAGGAAAGAACGGATTTTATAAAGGATTTACTAGGTGAAACTTTTCTACTAAAATATCTCTTGAACAACCTTAAATTAAATAAAAACTTCCGCTAATACGCTTTATCGATATACTCTATATTATTAATATAAAAGACATATATAATTCTAATACGAATCCTTAGACTTATAAGGTTATAAAAACGTAAACAAGCAAGCTGAGTAGAATAACCTGAATTAATTACATAAATAACCTAACTAGTACTCCTAAAACTCATGTAAATCCTCCCTTATTTCCGTAAAAAAACCCCGGATTTTCCAACCGGGTATACTTATATACCTCTAGATTAGTAATACCTACAAGTAGTATCTAGACTAGGTAACAAATATATAAGATAAAAAAGACCCCCTTCTAATAATTATCCTCCCTAACCCCGTAAGTATATACCATCCCAATATCTCCTACCTCTCCTACTCGTTAACTCAAAACAAAATCTTATAACAAATCCTACCTATATCCCCCTATATCCCGGACTACTCGTAAGAAGTAAATAAGACATACATTCCCTCCCCTTCCCCTCTGAACAAAAGACAATAAGACGATAATTTCAGAAGCCTAGCCTAGTCTAGTGAGGGAAGATACATACATACCCTAACACTAGGTAGTTTTCAAGGATACGGACTAAAAGATACGTCCCAAGAGGAATCAAAGGAAATGATAGTCGCAGATAGTAAGAATACCAGCTCCGTTATCTCAAGGTTTTCAAGATAGAAGGTGAGTTGAACCTGAACGACATCTCCCCCTAATTCATTGGAGATCTTTGGGTGACTATGTTGTGGGATGATATATATATATTAATTCGCACGGAAAAGTGTCACACAATCAGAGAAGTGATATAGGATAATCAACTGTCCTTCATTTCATTTGAACTATACTACGTCTCCAGGTAACAAACTGGGGAATCTCAACCTCTCAAAACAGAGCATCAACTTTTGCGAAGATCCTTCCCACCAAAGCAACAACACGACAGATTTTATTACGTCTCCATTTTCTCATGCTCAGTCTTTTTGTACTTCAAGAACCGTCCAAAGTTAAGAACCGCCTCATCAGCCCTCGCACGAAGCTCCTCAAACTTCCTCTTGTCAATTGACTTGGCCATCTTCCTAGCTTTTGGTAAGATATCCTCTAGATGCTTGTAAAAACCATTACCCCAAAATACGGGTTCGTCAAATGCGCAGCTTTTGTCGGAATAGATGTCGAAAACTTGGTTTAGGGCCTCTACTGCATTAGCGGCAGGGGTATCAGGTAGAGCTGCTAGAGTAGTGATGAGGAATATTCCGATCTCACGATTGAGTTCAATGGGTGCTGGGTCGACGGCGAGACTTCCCAATACCCCGATACACTAGAGTAGAAAAGTCAGTTATTGCCAGTTGGAGAAAATGTGGTGCAAGAGGGCGCAAAATAAGATTGACAGCTCTCGTAGGATGGAAGACAATTCCCATCACTTACTTTGACTCCGAGACCTTGGAATAGATCAGGACTTTCTTCAGCCTTTGTATTTCCATTGGCCTGAGACTCTGCAGTTGTATCAATATTCTTTGAAGCCTGATACAATGCCATAAACTTCTTCGGCTCGTCCGGTTTGAGCTCGATCACACCACGAACACTTCGAGATATTGCCCAAGCAAGACTGGTGATTATGGAAGCAAGATCAATGTCGGCAGTATCAGATGCTAGAACTGGGGAGATTGTTGAGCTCCATATACTTTGAGCCATTGTAGCCCAAAACTGTGAGATGTTTGAGTTAGCATTGCCATTTCTTGTAATTGTTTCAACTTAGAATAAGACCCAGAGTGGAGAACTCTTCAAAATCCCTCACCTTTTGTATAATGTCAAGTTGACTGTTAGAAAAATCAATGCTCGAAACTGTCCAGGCAATATTGTTAAGGGTGGAAATGGCACAATCTCGGATTACGTCGTTGTGGGTTATACCTGCTGCCATAGCGAGTATTTTTGGGGTCGCGGTTCGCATGAGAAGTTCAAGTGTTGGCTCATCGCTGTCCTCGTCTGGGCGGTCTCTTGTTACCAAGTCCATATCTGCTGCAATTTCATCATCGTTCATTTCATCGTCATCGCCCTCCTCACCAGCCTCATCCTCTTCATTATCGTCATTCATATCTTCGGTGTCTATTGGATCGTCGAAACCTTTGAACTCCTTCTCATGTCCATGTTCTAAAGCTTCCTGGAGGCTAGTTGCAATGGATGCGGTAATTTCCAGTGCCAATTGAAGGATTTGGTCAGGGGTCGAATTGGTGGAGTGTCCGTTGGTAGCTTTAATATTGGCGACAGAGGTCTCCATATAGTGAACAAGTGTAGGAATTAAAGCTGCATCTGATGCCCCATCAATAGGTCTATCGTGATCAGACCATCCCTTAGTGGAAAAGATATTATGCAACGTTCCACATGCCGTCACTGCAAGTGGAGTTTTTGAGTCCTTTAGTTGCATGAGCCCTTTAACCCAATCTCCATTATCCACAATTTGTTGAACTGTCGGCTTATTGTCCTCTGTTAGTGTTGTAAGACACGACAAAACTTCATTGGAAACTTCCGGTGGAGTAAGTTCGAATGCTAGCAAGCCGAAGAGGAAATTGAGGATGGTAGGAAGTTTCGAAATAGCCTCAACAATCTCATCTTGGGCTTCGGACAAGGATGAAAGCAGACTTATTAGGGAGCTGGTTAGATTCCAAGCAAGTTCTTGGTGGGGTTTCGGGAGGTTCGAGAAGGGGACTTCAGTCGATTCAATTGTTTGGATTACCTGTATGATTAGTATTTTCAGAACAATGGACAAGATTTAACGTACAGTTTTAATGGTACCCTCAATCGCAGTCAAGATATCCTGTCTATACAAATGTATGCAGAAATCCGCCTCCTCTTCCAAGGCAAGATTTCTCAAGATTCCCCATCCGGAAGTTCTCGTTTCCAAGCTAGAATCAGTAAGAGTTTGTTCGAAGAGTACTTGCACAATCTTTTCCCGAAGTAGCAACTTTCGGCATTTGGCGTCTTCAATCAAATTGGCAATCGCAATTGCTGCAGACGATCGGGTCGCGAGATCAGCGCTGGTCAGGTCCTTGAGGACCGGCAGAATGCGCTGTTCACGGATGGATGCGAGTTCTGGGTCGGACGGAGGCTTGGTCGGCTTTGAGGTAGGATCCTGGCGATTTCTCTGCCGATTTCTAGGCTTTGATTTACCCATGGTATTGGTGTTGATGAGAGCGATTGTTGGTGTTGTGATCTGTGGAAGCTTGAGTGGCGGGGTATTTTTTCAGATAAAAATATTTGGTGGGTACTCTACTTAGCCGCTGTTCAAGCGATACCCCTGGAGGACAAGAGGAGGGTGCAGTTCTTGTAGGTACATCTGAGTACCGATAGGTACTAGATACTAGCTAACTAAGATTTCTAGTGTTCTCATCCCCAAACAGTCTAGAATAATATGTGAATTTGGTGAACAATGAAAGAAAGAAGAAAACCATACTGGCAAGCTAGAAATGTACCCTTTTTTCCCTTTTGGGTCAGTTAGTCTACTGGGTACCAGTAGAGTTTGACAGCTAGGTACGGTGGTACCGTTGCCTCACCAGGCCAGGCCAGGCCCAGGGTCTTTTTACCCCGCGACAGGGGTTTGAGAGACATTAATTCATCTTGCGCCCTTCATCCCCTACGACCCTACGCCTACGGCTACCTACTTAAGTACCGTAAGTACCGCCTCCAAGATACAAAACCACCTGCCTCCTCCACTCCCTCGCCCTCCCTCACCATGTCCGCAACGACCACGGTGACACAGGTGGAGCCCATCACCGCCGAGAGTATCCTGCGGCTTTTCCCTGATATTGATACCAGTTCTGCGGAGCTGGATGGCCATGATGCAGAGCAGATCCGTTTGATGGATGAGGTCTGCATCGTCCTGGACGAGAACGACAAGCCCATTGGTAACTTCAGCAAGAAGATATGTAAGGATCCTGACCCCTCTCCTCCTGGAGCCACGGTGAGAGAAGCAGGCAGGAGTAAGAGCTGACTTGGGCGCCTCAAAGGTCACCTCATGACGAATATTGACAAGGGCCTCCTCCATCGCGCATTCTCCGTCTTCCTCTTCAACGAGAAGAACGAACTACTTCTCCAGCAGCGCGCGACCGAGAAAATTACCTTCCCAGACATGTGGACGAACACTTGCTGCTCGCATCCATTAGGAGTCCCAGGCGAAGGAGGCGTGGAGTTGGAAGAAGCGGTGGCAGGTGTGAAGAACGCTGCGGTTCGAAAACTCGACCACGAGCTCGGCATTAAAGCTGCCCAAGTGCCAATCGAGAACTTCAAGTTTCTGACAAGAATCCATTATAAGGCGCCGAGTGACGGAAAGTGGGGTGAACATGAGAGTGCGTATCCCGGAGCCTTCAGTCTACGCGTCCCCAAACCTGACATCTCTACAGTTGACTACATCTTATTCATCAAAGCCAAAGTTGACTTGGAACCAAACCTCAACGAGGTTCGAGATACCTGTTATGTTACCGCCGACGGTCTCAAGAAGATGTTCAACGATCCTACTCTAAAGTTTACTCCTTGGTTCAAACTCATTTGCAACTCGTTGCTCTTCGAATGGTGGGAGCATCTGGACGAGGGCCTCGAGAAGTACATGAACGAGCGCGATATCCGCAGAATGTGAGCGTGGGATGCATTCCGGAATCATGCGGGTGCCTGTAATTCGCATTGGACCGACCACTGGCTTGGCTCTCGAGCAATCAGGAATACGTTTGGCTGGATTTGAAGCATTAGCGCTTAGCTGTACAGCAAAGATACCCCACGACCAAATACAACATGAAATGACATGCGATTGGCGAAGTCTGGCTTCTTGGTAGTATGATTTTTGATATGTCCCCGAGCATCGGGGAATGGTTGCACCACTCCGCGGGGTCCCTTTTCTGTTTGTTGTCCTGGGAGATCTTTCTAAAGATCTCGCGGTATCTTTCAGAGACCACCCAATTATTTCTCCTTTTTCTCACCTTTTCAATCCCAAGGCCTACTCTTCTATTGACTCTTGGGCTGGCTTTGAATTAGCCCTTCCAGCCAGATTTTGGGGATTGTGCTAGGCCGATTGAGGTATGTCCACGCGCCCCCACGCGTCTTACACTATGCAGCAATTGTACCTTGGTCGAGTTGTCCATCTTCCACTGTCATGGTTTGACCCTGCACTATTGCAAGCCCGTGTTCTCCCAAACTGGCTAGGACCTGTCTTACTACATGCATTTTACGGGGACATCCAATCCGCTTCGTACCTTCTCTACTTCTGGGTACGAATCTGGTTTGGCGTCCAGCTCACAAGTAAGGTTGTGGTCAAGTGACAAAGTGACGAAGTGGGGCCAGCCTATCGCTCAACAATGGAACGATGCACCATTCCATTCCATCCGAAGGTTGACAGCTATCTACATAAACCCCAGCCTATCGCTCCTATCTCTATTTCTCCCGAAAAGTACGACTGAGTCTCCTGCCTAGCTTCCAGATCCTCTAAAGACTTTATTCCCAAAATATCATAAACGATAATAACTTCTTCCTAAACTGTTGTATGCTCAATTGACTCTATTTACCGAATCGAAACTTTGTCTTCCCCCATTCTACCAGTACCACAAGGCTACACATACGAATACCCAAACAACCCCAATCCCTCTATTCACCCAAACCCTTCGAAATCTCAGGAACCCAAGTGAATTTACATTGATGTCGGTTGACATACGCCAAAGTCTTCATTGCCTGCGATTCCCATCTCGATACCAAACGGTTTCGAGATCTCAGCTCTCTAAACAACATACAGGAGATTTAACGAGGCCTGCCGAAAAACCGTCCTGTTAGTTTGATACCGACCACATTACTAGCACGCAAAACAGCAGAGACACTAATAAGTCCCCAGAAACACGAATTCCAACTGCACGATCAATTCATTCAATCCACCATTCACCGCAATCATGACGACGAACAATAACAGTAACATTCTGGAGAAGAAACGTAGTCTAACCCCTACTTCCACTTCCTCCTCCACGGAAGAAGTCCGTACCATTGGCATCTCCGAGCTCGACGGGGCGGCGAAATGCCTTGCTGAAGCTTTTGCGGTAGATGAGGTAGCGAGGTATTTTGTTGATACGCCCGATATGGTGGGCGTGAAGGAAGCGCGGAAGTATGATGTTCATTATAAGATTTTGAAGTATCTTACTGCAGCGCATTGTTATAAAGGGCTTGTTACTACGGTGGGGCCGGATTATGATGCTGTTGCTCTCTGGTGTGTGATTCTTTCTCACTTTCTCACACTCAGACCGCTTTCCATCATTCCCTTAAACTCATTCCTTGATTACATCAAAATTCCCCGTTCCTTCTTTCTGTAAATGCCATCTCTGAGGTAGTCTAATGGTCTCCGTAAGCAAATCATTAACACCAACATAGGTTGCGACCCGGTGAAGACATGGACGACTGGTTGACCTTCTTCCGCAGCGGTCTGTGGAGATTGTACTACCAGCTTTCCTCCGAGGGACGAACCCGCTTCTTCAAGGAGTTCTTCCCCTTGCTGCATGCGACGAAGCATGCAGTGATGGGGGAACGTGATGATGATAGCTATTACCTGGTTTACCTTGGGAGTAAGAGGAGTGCCAGGGGTAAGGGGTATGCGAGGAGGTTGATTGAGGATATGGTTGGGAAGGTGGGTTGGGTTTTGTTTGTTGTTCTTTCTGTCTCTTTTCTCTTTTTACTCTCTCTCTTTCTGTGGGTGTATACATTCGATGCATCATGAATCAACAGGAAGTTTTCAATCACATCTTCAAAATGTCAAGCGACACAATTCCGTCATCCTCAAACTCACACTTCACACCTTCCTTCACCCTTACACTTCACGCTTAACCCAACCTAACTAACTAATCCTCACGAGTACACAGGCAGATACCGAAGGCAGAGCAACATACCTCGAGTCCAGCGCCGCCACGAACCTGAGCTACTATGCTAAATACGGGTTCGTGCATCAGTTTGATATCGCGCTCCAGAGGGCCGTGAGACCGGTCGTTTTGCATGTTATGGTTCGCGAGCCCGTGGGGAAGGTGGGTGAGGGGGAGGGGATTTAGGTGAGAATGGTGTGGCCGTTTTTGTTTTTTGATGGAATTTTGGGNTGCATGTTATGGTTCGCGAGCCCGTGGGGAAGGTGGGTGAGGGGGAGGGGATTTAGGTGAGAATGGTGTGGCCGTTTTTGTTTTTTGATGGAATTTTGGGGGAGGGGGGAAGGGGGGAAGGGCTGGGAAGGGATGGGATAGATTGTTTTCTTTTTGGGCTTGATGGATTATGGATGCGGATTAGGATGTTATGACCTTGATGATTGCACGACGGAACTCTACTAAATTGTTTTGGCTTGATCACAGTAACGACACGTTTTTGGGGGTGGGTAGGGGGACTTTGTGGTTTCCTTGAATTAAATGGTTTGATACTGTTTTTTACTGCAGTAGTTACTTTATAGAATGGTTTTGAAAGGAGGAATTGAGTGTTTTTGTTTTTTGTTTTTTGAAAGTGTGTGTGTGTGTGAGAGAGAGAGAGAGAGAGAATTGATGGCATTGAAGTGATTTGGTCTAGGTGGGATTGTGATGGGGATACTTGGAGGAAGGAGTGAACAGGGGAGAGGATTTGACAAGGAATGGAATATTGGGATGAATGGATATCTATGCTGTCTTGGTTTAGGAGGTTACGTATAATAGTATAGTTGTTTTCGAAACATGGGTCATTGAAGGAAAGGGGATAGTTTCATTTTCCAATGAGCAGCGGAGGGAGCGCGAGAGTCTTTAATATGACATACTACGCTAGCGTAGCTCGACAGTACGTGTCATATGAGAATATAATAATATTTAGCCGTCGGTATAACGAGAAACATTTTAGAAGAACGAAAAGGGTGGAAGCTTTCCAATTCCATATTCTTACTCAAAGACAGTTCTGTCTATCTCGCTTAACCAACGAACCTCCTGTGGGATGGAGATGTTGTAATTAGTAGATAATAAGTATCTAGTTGACCTTATCTTTACCAACTAATCGTTTTCTCAGAAAATGGGAACTCAATTTGTCTACAAGAGACGAAAAGAGAGAGAATTTCACCAAAACCCAGGATATAACTCCAATTAAGTATAAGCCCCCCTTTGTTTCCCTTCAAAGAATCCTACCATACTAACATAAAATATACTAAGTTACTAACTATCTAGGCGTATAAGAGATCCTTCCCGGTGACTCCTTCTTCCCTCCCGACGCTGTATAAAAGCGCTGGCCGGCTCTAGTTTGAGAAGTCCCGTTGACTTACTTCCCTTCCCACAATATATCCGGGGTCTTCATATTCAACTTTGCATTAAGGATTCTAATAAGCTTAGGTGATATCAAGTACTTTAATGCAAATTCTATACCTTACGATCGCGCAATTAAAATCACTTTAAGAGCTGCTCTATAAGTAAACTTTATTTATGAAAATAAAAACCAGCGACCGAATCCGCTTACTGGGTACACAGAGGCTAGTAAAAATAGACCGCAAGTTCTTCATAGATATCAGAGTTATATTCTTAGTACTACTGATGCCCCGCCCAACTCGTGATATGGCCTTTTAGTACATTCAGGCTGCCGCAGTGCAGATCCAATTACTTCTTGAAGTGAAGTTGGAATTTCTCAGTGAAGCTTTTATTTTGGTATGGTATTTCCTCCATCAATTCATAACACATCGTAAATGCCTAATTCATCTCAAAAGACATCGCCAAACGCCTAGAATTACCCTCTCACCTCCACACAGCGCCAGCTAATACTCGAGCACAGCCCAAGTCTCGTCATCAACAGTCGTGTAAATTAAGCCCTCTCCCAGCAGTTCATCACCAGCCTTGAACACATCATTCGGCTGTATACCCAGTTGGTTCGCAATATGATGAACATGCATACCCTCGTTATTCTGGGGAGAGTTCTGAAGTAACTCGAAAACTCTCCTACCAACCATGCTAGTCTTGGCGGGTAACTTCTTGCCGCCACCTCCTGAGACCGCAGCATTGTTACCACCATAGCTATCCACGAACATTCCCGTTCCCTGCTCCGCCTTCACTCCTCCTTCACTCTCTGGTGGACCTCTTGTGAAATATAGATGCATGGCTGTAGCCTCGAGAAGATGACAGCTAACTTCATTGTAATCGTCAACCTTTCGTATCGAATTGGAGGCGACAGTGCGTTTATTGGCGAAAGACTTCATGCGGCCAAACACGCGAATGTAGTCTCCCTCGTTGGCAACCAGTTGGACATCGCCGGAATCCATGTCGCTGTTAAGCCATTGCGTTACTTCAGTTATGCCAGTTCCATCGTCGACTTTCCAGAGGATGTTGGCGGCTCTTTGGTTTACGCTGTTGACTTGGCCGACGAAGGTAATCTGAGGTTCCGATTAGAACAGGCATGGAAAAGAATTGGTGCAGGCATAACATACCTGATGTACCTCTGCGCCATCAATTTTGAATTCTGCATCTGCGTGGGCTTGTGTGCTATGTCAAAATCAGTACGAAGAAATGCCGCCTGGAGGCGGGGTATAAAAAAAACCTACGACTCAATAATTTGCTTGATCGTTACCGCTCTCAAAGTCTCCGATCCATATGACTACAGAAAGTCCTGTCAGTTGTGAATTCTGTACGTATGCAGAAACTGCAGCAGACCTTTTGTCCTGGACTATCCTGACTCCCTTGCTGTGAGCCGCTCATGAATCCCCCGCCATCATTGCCTCCTTGGCCGCCATAAGAAGTCGTCGAATAGTTTGCGCCTGTGTAACCGTAGTTTGCTATTTGGATATTAGTAGCTGTTTGCATATGAAGTATGGGCCGTCTTACCCATGGTGGAGTTGTGATATTATTTTTGTTGGTGTTTGCGCTCGGTGGTGAGACGCGCTGGAACGCGACCTCTTTACACGAACTTTCCCTCTTCGCAGTGGGACCCACCTTTTTTGCACGCCTTGGAAGCAAGGAATCAAACACCATTGCCCAATACAAGCGACTGGAGTACATACGTATCTATAATTTCTGAATCTTCTACGGTACTATAATTAATAGTTTCTTCCCAATATTTTGAAATCAGTTTTTCTGAATTGTCGGGACTCAAGATATTCAATTTCCCAAATTACCACCCGAAAGTAAGCTTTCTATCTACCCTACTCTCTCCTAGTAGACAAGTCAAATTTCTCTCTAATTAGTTAACTTATTGAAAGTTAAAGAGATTAAATCTACCTTGTTCTAGGTAAAAAATAATAGAAATACTAATAAGGAAATAAATATTCTATGTTATAAGTTTAAATTAGATGTTTCTATTGTAAATCCGGAATTTCCCACCTTTATAATAGAGTACTCAATAAATAGAACTATATTCTATGGAATTCTAGGTAGGTATAATATTCTGTATAAAATATTTCTAGATAAACTAGTCTAAGGTAAAAGAAACTTAGCTTTTTATTAATCTCTAGAGCGAAGGGACTTTTTCTCGAGTTATATAACAAATTCTATCTAGAAATTCAATATATTAATATATACCTCTAGAATAGAATTATTTTAGAGGGGGCCTCTGGAATAGAAATGAATTTCAGTTGCCGAGCGTTATACCTCCGTACTCCTTGAGGGTATACAGTGAGAATTGAAATACTTGTCTTGTTATAACAGGGTTTTATTACCGCTTTAAAAGGAGAAATTTCTGTTTTAGGTAAGTATCGAGCTCAGGTATTACAGTCAACATTAGGCGATTGAATGCTGCGACTAAAAGTTCTTCTAGTCTACTTTGATTACCATCAAGGCATACCAGCAAGGATAAAGGAGAAACTATGTAAGATATTTTTGATCTGTCTTATTTCTCAAACCTAACGCTCGTACTCTTTATACTTGGAATCAAGTCAGACAAGATTTTGCAGATCCCTTTGGGGGTCTCAATAAATTTCGGTGTTCAAATCGTAAACACTTCATTGTCCCCATTCAATTTTTGTTACAGCCAAGGATACCATGTACTGTATCTAGGAACTGACCCTGTTTCAATCTCTTTGAGGACTTGGAGCTTTAAGACTTCTTCCAAAGATTTCTTGACTCTTCGAATGTTTCTCAAATGACAATGCCATAAAGTACTTGTAAGTTCCCCTTTCCTCGAATCCACCAGATCAGTTATAATTTGCGAGTTTCGCTGAGCAAAATGCTCATCAATGTCAACTTCGGTAGTAGCAATTACACTTCGAGCGATCCTCCTATCTACTTTGTTCATGAGCCAACAAGAAGGGGAACGGTGAGCTTGGCAACTACTTGCATTACCACAATTTCTTTGTGTGTGGACGGCGGTTCATCTTAATCTACCAGTTCCTGGTTGTTATGGTAGCCTTCAGCAGAAATTGAGGAAGGTGTTCCTTTTCTGTGTTGGCTTTTTAGCAGAGAATATTTTGGAACACGTGCCGCCAGACAAAAAGCTACCCCCGACGAGCCCATAACCCTAGGAATCAGAGCCACGAACCGACAAAAATTGAAACCTCTAATTCCTCCGAGAATTACATATACAGAATTAGTCTACCATATTCTTGGCGCTGTTATGACTCTTGGATTGTACTCCTTTCTTCACCTCCTCGCCTGGGATGGTAGCTTCCGCTCACCTGAAGAGCAATTTGGATGGCAAGTCGCTTCTGTCATTTTGATGATTTCTAGCTTTGTCTATGTTGTTCAGGCGATTTGGTCGATGAGAGTTGAGCCTATGACGTGGAAGTTGGATTGTCAGAAAGGCGAGAGTATTGCACTCGGAATACTCATAGGGGTGGTTATAGTGCTGGGTTTCCTGGCGAGATTGTTTCTTGTTGCTGAAAGTTTTTGGAATTTGTTGTATTTGCCGGATGAGGTTTACTACGTGCCAGAATGGACGGGGTATTTTCCTCATTTGTAGGGTTTCACCTGAAGGAGATGTAGAGAGGGTTGGATCAGGGTGGCTCCATCAATAGTTTCGGAATAATTTCGATATTTTTGTATTCACAGAAATATTTGGTATGAAACTTTATTGTCAGAAGAGTCAGGACAGACTTCAACGTAGGTCCAATAACACCCACTTCCAGCTAAGTCCTCTCACTTTATAACAACCACCACTCCAGCACTTTCTCCATCATTTCATTTCAATCTTCTCTGTTACAGCACTGTTCAGCTCTGTACCAAAACATCCAAAATGCCACAAGACAACACCCAAACTTTGCAACCAAAGATCCCAAAGATCAAGATCTCAGGCTCCTCTGAGAACATCTCTCAGAACAACGCTTCCCAAAAGCATACATCTCAAAATACCACACACACAGCGCAAAATTCCCAGATTGTTGAAGCTCAGAAGATCACACAAACGCTCTTCACGCATATAGCACCCGTGGACACAACTCTCACAGTTGAGGAAAGGGATGCTTGGCGACGAGCATCCCGGAAGCAGATTGCCGATTTCGAGGCGAAAATCAGGGAATCCTTGAAGAAGAAGAGACCAAGTTTGCTGGGGAGGTTGTCTTCGAGTTGGAGGGGAAGTGAATGAGGGGGAAGATAGAGAGGATGGGAATACAGGGTAGATAACGGCTGTTGGATATGGAGGATTTACTCTTTTTGCTGAGGTGCACTGCTCAATTACATTACCTTACTGCCTATCTTGGAAATCATGTGATTGCATCTCTGTTTCTGAAATGTGAATGAGGTGGTCCTTTTTGACGTGAGTAATGTGGCGATATTGTGCCAGTAAGCAGTTGACTGGACCATCTACATTATCAAGTAAATAGGCCCGCATCTTTTTATTTTAAGCAAACTTTCTGGTCTCGCAAGAAACGCTAGGGATTATAAAGTCGCTGGCGCTAAAGTGGTAAAATTGTTCCGCCGCGTAGGAAGCGGTCAACAACAACACGATCCCTGTCCCCCTAAGCGAGCAAAAAAAACAGCTAAAAAAAACGCGGAAAAGCAAAATAAAAAAAGAAGATCGTGAGCACTCAAACCAGCAAAAGGTTCGTGACCATGCCGTTGGACATAGTAATCCTCAGATTATTACTCTTCAAGCACGAATCCTTACTTCCCTCCGGAACGACTGGCCCAAATGGGCGGCCAGTCGCACCACCAACAGGCGTATAATTGGTAGATTTGTGGTTGGAGAATTCTTATTTGTTTATATAAAATAGATCGGAGCTTTGCGGGAACAGATTATTGCCGGTGAATATCCGATATGTGGCAGATGGTTGGGGCCATTCAGAATTTCCAACCACCCACGCCATGTCATGGAATGGTTCGTGATTACTGTATTCACTTTCATCTAACGCCAAGATTCGCCTTCATGTACAAGTAACTTGATTCACTACACACCAAGCATAGCACGCCACCCTGGAGCGGGGAGAGAGAAGGTCATTCTCAGAGAGAAAGCCGATGGAGTTCCCGACCAACTGATCTCAATATTATTCACGTCAGGGATCACAACTGCCACAAAAGGCATGTCAAGTCAGAAGACTGCATTCAAAAGTTCTATATATACAATTCAACCTCTGGCTGCCTTATTATCCACTCTTCGTCACCTTGGTATTGTGCATCCTGTTCCCCTACTATTATTGGAAATGTTTCTGGCCGCTCCGATGAACCTGTCAGCGCATAAATCGCAGTCAAATACCCACTTGCAGCCAAATCCCGTACGTCAACTGACCGGGTCTGCTATCATACATCTGGCAGGATGCCATCTGGCAACCGGAAATTGTTCCAGAGGATGCATATGATGCACGTTCTTTCCATTCTATTCAATGCAAGTCAGGTATATATTCACTTCCAAAGTCAGCTCATAATCTGCAAATCTTTTGTCTTTTCGAAAGATTACGTTTGAAAATATTCGACAGCAGCAAGTCTTTCGAGATCATGCAAAAGTTCAGATGAAATATGACCAGTAGAGGAAACTGAACAAAGAGAAGCCAACAAATTCTCACCCAACTTGCGGAGGGGCTGCACGTTCGCCAGCGTTATTTCTCTCCGTCACTAAAAGACATCGTGAACTAGTCTGTAGAGATCGGACTTTCTCGAGAACCTCAGTTCTATATCTCTCCGTCGCAGAATCGAGCTTGTTTGTAGTATATACAACGCCGCTTACAGTCTAGAGCCATTAATGACTATTCACTGAGACTTGCTACGTTGACTTAACACGTATGCCAGATATGACTATACTTTATGTATGAAAGTATTGTAAGCTCAAATCCACTTCCTCATACCGTTGCATTACCAACAACGAATATAACTCCACTCATTCTGACGGAACTGTAAGTCCAGTAAGGAAAACAAAATCGGTGCGACAGTGGAAAGAACATTGTGAGCTATTTATAGAATCGAACCTAGGCGTGTACAAGAAATACTCAACGAGTAGATTCTTTAACTTTTTACCTTTATTGAACTTACCATAAAATAGCCACGGCATTATGGTTACACACGCAGGCCAATAGCTACTACGTCGCCAATCGTAAGTCGAGGGATTTTTATTTCGACTACTACTAGTGTGTTTGCACTCCCACCACACTGCCACTTTTGGATTCCATGAGACCAGCCCTTACTTTCCCAAATGCACGCGCACCTCTACCACTATCGATGTTGCACTCCAACGGTTCAATCACCGCAATACCACAAGATGCAAAATTCTATTTAGGGGCACAATAGACACTCCCAATTCCATGTTCTCTGACTCCTGGGGCGTCACAATAGTAGCTGCCATTCTCCCCGTTCCTAGACCAAGGGCCGACAAGTCGCGGGACAACAAATCCCGGTTTCCACTCAACATTATAGCACTGAATTCAATAACAAATGAGTATCTATTTCATAATCAGGGTTGGTACTGCAGTACTGACGCAGAATGTTGCTTTTCCTTCTGCTTCACAACTTCCATCGCCTATAGTCCCCCAATCGCAATACATGATGAAGGGCTCTTGCTGGCCGTTTTTTCCAGCTGCGGCAGAAATGCCTAAAGTAAAAATGGCAAGCTTGTAGATAAATAGCACAATGTGAACGTGTTTTCGGGCGTGAGGTGAAGGAACCTTTACGGAGGTGTGGAATACATGCTCATTAATGTAGTTGGTAGCTAATATTAGATGTTGGACGTGTTACTTTATTTGACAGGAACGCCCCAGGTTCACTAAACTGTATTGCTTCATGGCCTTACAAGAACCCTTAATTTCGGGGTTTTACCGAAGATCTTGTAATTAATTATACTATAGTACAACAAAAACGAGGTAAAATTGAAAGCAAAGGCGTATTCGGGTTTACTTCGAAGTACTTTGCAGCTGATTTGGGGACTGTTTGGCTTACTCGGAAGCGTATCCAGGTTTTTACAGAACTCGGAATAACTCTATTCGCTCATCAAATATAACCCGAAGTTATTTCCGAACAAAATACCGTTTGAATGGAATTCTCTATCATCGTACTCAGTGTATCGACGGTCATTAGTGTTGTAATATATAGCTACTAATATAGTACAACGCGGCGAACACATTAGATAGGGCTTACATCGCCACCGGTTTTGCTCTCTTATCACCTATACGAAGTTTCTGGAGAAGGAACTAAAGTGGTGTTCACTTTAGCAAGAATAAGCGAGTTACGAAGGAAATATCGTATATATGGGTTTTTGCTATACTTCCTTTTTGTATATTGTATTCCAAATAAAGCCAGACTGCTATATTCGGAGTGGTATTTTATTTTTATCCTATATACGTGCTAAAAACTAGACGCGAGTGAGGTACTCGTATCGAGTACTGTACAAAACTCTAAGTTGGTATAGTAGACTCTGAATGTATATTCTGAAACACGCCGAGCCAAACAGGCCCTTAAAGTCTTGACTTGGAGTTCTGATGTTGGAGATAAAGTCACCTGCACGGTCTATTCTGCTCAGGTTAGCGGTGTAAGATACAGACTACGATAGCGTGCCCCAGAAAGAATATAACTTGGTAAAACTTAACTCGTTTATAAATGCCTAATAATATATTCAAATCGATGACTATTTAGATTATAGAAAGTTCTATATTATACATCGACGTTGATCGGTAGATAGTAAGTGGTTCTATAAAGTACATACCGAATGAAGCCAGACCACTATATACGAAGCAGGTTTTACTTTATATTTAATACTTCCTACTCCGTACCACCCGAGAAACCGGTAGGCGGAACGTCCACATTAGGTTTAGCGAGTACTATACTCGAGTACTATTCTACCAGTCTCATTTGAGTTCGATCAAAGAGAGTACTAAGGCCAACCCTAATTAGGACCTTCAACTTACCGGTTTCTCGGGTGGTACAGAGCAAGGAATAGGAGCTAACTGTTCCTCTTACTTGTGACAAGTGAGCACCTGTAAAAAGTGTAGATCTTTGATTAATATAATACACCTTGAATTTACATTCCGAGCTAAACCGGCCATAAGCTTGTACCTATCCGCCATGCTTTACAACACTTCTATTAATGTGGCATTCTAAAAATCATGTTTTGTAAAACGGCAGAGCTCGTGATAACCTCACATTTCCGTCCCCTATGGAATTGTATACCTTACTATATGTTTATCAACTTCCTATCTCCTCTAGGTCTAAGTTTGAGTTCCAGGCAGGTGATCGCTTGTGATCATAATAATGTTCTTATCAATCTCTTCATACAAAAACCTTCCCAAGAACTTCTAGATGCCTCCAAATAATATACAAACAATCATCTGGAACCACATCAAGAGGACTTCGCCGCACACAACTCTGCGATAATCCATGGGCTTGTGTTCATAAAGAGGTGCAAGAGAAAGCATTCAAAATCATACAGCAGAATACTGTAAGAGTTGAAAAAAAAACTTCGGAGATACATTTCAACCATCAAAGCGTGAAAATTCAAGCACACCTCTTCCACCCTAACTGTCTTTGTAGAAACAACAGATCGCCTAAACTCCACAAAATAATACATATCACTGCATGGTAGAAAAGACCATAACAAATGAATTCAAAGCAAGTAAAACAAGTACATACTCTATTGACTATCTACATCCAAGCAATCCCTTCCCTCCCACCAAATCCCTTCCCCCAAATAACAAACAGCTCTCATCTCATAAAACACATCAGTCAAATGAGAAACCAGGACGAGGGAGACTCAGAGACAATACAGGTAACCACTCGCAGGCAGAAAAGAAAAGAAACTGAGCAGAAATAATAAAGCGAAAGTATCCTTGAGGTAAAAATCCACGATTTCACGACTCAAGCAAGAATGGGGAATCGCATTCGCAACCCCTGTTCTAAGCTCGAAGGATCACTGCAGTAAAGCACATACTGACTATCCCCAACCTACACATCACTTCCAAACCACTAATCCAAACATTCCAGACGCTGCAACGGAAACCCTACATTTGACCTTAGCTGGATCTTAACAGTCTCACTCAACTACCTCCCACCAACCCCCCACCAACAAAACAATACATCCACACGAACAATCTACCCACTAACCCTAACACCAAATTACAAACATACCTCAGTATCTCAATTACTCCCCCCCTCCAAAAGACTAACATAATCCACATGAACCAATCCCAGTTCCGAAAGCGTCCTAAACCAGAGACTATACAGACTTCAAAACAGGGATGTACTTATTTAACTTTTGCAGATTACATTTGTAAGAGTACTTTACATTCCACACGCTGATGTATTGTTGGTATACTTTATACCCGAGCTGTTAAATAAACAGCAATGAGGAAAGGTGGGAGTATTAATTTGAAATTTAAAATCTTCACATGAGAGAGAGATATCAGGCATTACTGGAGATAAATTGAGAGTTTGGTGGGGAGAATCTGTTCTGGTATTGTGCTGAGGTTGATAAAAAGTGCGGGAGATTGTGCTACAGTACCGTGGCGCTTGGGAACCTTATTGGGGATGAGAAGACAGAAGGGAAAAGAGAGTGATGCAGAATATACAACACTGAACCTCAGGTGTCTAAAGGAAACCCCGGAAACCATTCACACATAGTATACACCAACGAAAACATATCAAAGCACTATCCAAACATATATCCAAGGAAAAAAGAAAGGTTGGTATATAACTACAGTCTATCTCTAGAATCCTTTTGAATTCTCCTTAATCCAGAAAACATCCAGGACAACCCATTCTCTTTCTCCAAACCACGAGCTTTTCTAATATCCTTTCTATATCGGAGCTCTCGAAGATTTCCTGGAATTGGTCTTCAGAAGTGGAGTCCTTTCGCTGGCAGGTGTCTCAACCACGGCACCTCCCTCGTCATCGGTTTCAATCCCATCAGTCTGACCTGGAATATATCCAACCACACATCTCGCGTTTGTCTATATAAATCATTAGCATATATCCGACAGCTTATTAGTATGGAGAGGAAATAACGAACCCCTTCCACCTCATCATAATTCTTCTCCCTCCTCGCCTTGACCTCAAAACAAATGCCCATAACCAACAAACACCCCTGCAAACAACCCGTCACCAAGAAAACACCCCAACTACTCCACCCCTCGACTCCTAGCCTCGCAGCCAAGCTCCCGGCCCAAACAAAACTCCCGGGTGTTTGTATCAACATCATAGGAATACTCAAACTGCCAACATGTCCCAAGAACCAAGTCATCCAAATTTGTGGAAGGTATTGTATGGTGGCAAGTATGGTTGCAGTTATACCAAGTATATTGGCCCATGTACCCAGTGTCCCCGGTCGAGAGTAGAAGAGTGCTGTGCTGACGATGATTACGAGTAGACCGTGGAGGAGACAAACGAAGGCTACGGTTAGGGCGGTGCGCCAGGTGTATTGATCGCCGACGGGTTCATCTTCTTCGTCGTGAATCGGTGGGGTTCGAGGGAAGAATACGAGGAAGAGAAAGAGACTGTGAGTCTCCCATTAGCAGAGACAATATTTCGAAGGAATGGATGTACGTACATCACACTGAAGCAGAACCACTGCACACCGACTTGTGCAATCCCTAGCAATCCAGCTACACATTCAAATGTACTTATCGTCTTGCAACACGCGACATCTGCCCTGGAAGCTGGGAGAGTGAGGATATTTGCAAAAGCGCATGTCCCTGACGTGGTGCCTAGAAGGATAAAGTAGGGCGAGATACCCTCCGAGGTCCCACGCGCAATGATCCTATAATGCTGAGGCAGATATGAGACGAGTATACCAAAAAGGATGAAGCTGCAGAGCGTGTCAGCAAAGGGTTCTCTGAACATTTCGAGTAAATAGCTTCAAGCGTACATGGACAAAGTAAGGTTGATGTAGAAAGAGCTGTCATTCTCGCCGTCTCCATGCTTGAGCTTCTCGCACCGATCCTGCGTGTAGTTCGACGCGATATTGAAGACGGAGTCCATCTTTATACTCGAGGGGGAAGTTGGTGATATCTGATGCAGATGTTACGACATTCCAGGATTGATGTTGTGGTTGTAGATACTAGAGAGGGTATCCTTGGTTGATGTCTGCAGGTGTTGTCTGTTGCCGTGCCGTGCCATGATGGGTACCTAATTGATCCACAATTGATCGACGTGGGGAAATGCCTCGGCCGGAATAAATGCTCCGATTTTTCTGTACCTGCGTTTGCTAAGAGCGGATCCTGTTGAAGCTGGAACGGGTTAACCTTGTCAATAGATACTCACTTATCAGCTATCACTTGGGAACCAAGTTCCAAGGAGTCAGTTCAGAAGTAGGTGGCTGCGAGAGTATACAGGTCACGTGGAGTTTCAATCCCGCCAGTCTACGAGTACCTATGTAGGTACTTCTAGGTAGGTAGTTTTGTTTTCTAGCCCTGAAGGAAAAATTATGTTTACGCAAGATGAAAATAACAAGTTCAAGTCATTCTATTTGACTAGTAAGTCTTGGAGATATTATCTGGAATCGTAAGGTAGCTTATAGTAGGGAATCCAAGTGGCCATGATTCATTCCCCTACAATTCTCAAATAAGCTTAAGTATTCTCCGTAGTCAATCCAGATTTAATTGTCTCCAACCGCTCAATTATCTGTTTTGATATCAAAACTAAAAGAAACCCCACGCATTTTAGTGTCCTAACCGTTGGAAAGCGGGGCTAAAAGGGGCTGAAGCGAGAAGCATTCCCACCAACTAATCTAGTACTTTCTAGTAAGCATCTAAGCAATAAACCGATTCTTAGCCGAAAGACTTAGACATTGTCACCGAACCATTTCAAGACCATCTAGTACCATCCAGAATAATCAAGATCACAATGACGCAAAGTGAATATACCAAAAAAACCCCGGTCTATAACAAGTCCGAGCCCACGTGTTTTCGTTTCTTATTAGCAGGAAAATCCCTGCGCGGATCAAAATAGAAGCGCGTCGTCTGCCGTCGCGTCCTCAACCTTACCTAACTTGCCCACTTCAATACACCAACATCCTTCTTTGCATGAAAGCAAGCCATTTGTACGATTTGGATGAACCAGAATTCCCCGCGTGCAACCATGAAGCGAAGCAATTTCGGTGACGAGAACCTGGGTCCTCAACGCAAACACCAGCGTTCTTCTCAGCCCCATGTCTCGTCCTCTCTACCGGGTGCTACTCAATCGTTTCCCAGTACCCAAGCTGCCCGCGATGCGTGGCAGGAGACCAATGAGGAGTTTGAAATTGTGGATTTGACCCAGGAACCTGAGGAGGGATTTGGTTGGGTTTGTCTTGGTGCTATTACTGATAAGGTGAGCTATTTTCTCCATGCGGGATTGCGCGTTTGCAAGTGCTGATTAGCTTGTCATAGATTGTGGGTATCAGATATTACAATGGAGTGGCCTCTCCTGGAGAGCAGGTCTTGGTGAAACGGGAACCTGAAAATCCGTATGATTCTAATGCTATTCGGGTCAATAATATTCAGGGTACTCAAATTGGACATATTCCTCGGAATCTTGCTTCGAAACTTGCTACTTATTTGGTGAGTGATGGGTTTCAGCGATTTTGTTCGGATAGAGATTAATTCGTATCTCAGGACGAGAGAAGTATTGTTATTGAAGCTACTCTTGCCGGTGAGAAGGGTGCCTATGATTGTCCCATCTACTTGAAACTTTTCGGTCCTGGAGCCCCAGAAGTCCGTTATGAGCTCGAGTCCAGATTGAGACGTGATCGAGTTCCCTTCCGAACCCAAGGTATCGCAGCACCAAAGCCCAGAAAGAAGGATCTGGTTCCTACCACAAGAAACCCTATGGGTATCCCAGGTTCTTCACAAAGCTCAAGTAGCCAAGAACCTCCGCCATCTTCTATGCCTGGATTGAATCATTTATTGCAACACAGTGAACAATTTCGACCAAGGGACGCCGAAAAAATGGTTGAGAATTGGGGTGTTGGCGAAAAATCCATGGCGGAAATGCCCATGGCTGAGCAACCTAAGGGTTTGAAATCTACTTTACTTCCTTACCAACGACAAGGCTTGAAATGGATGTTGGATAAGGAGGATCCTCAACTACCAAAACCTGGATCTAATGAGATTGTTCAACTCTGGAAACGTCATCCTAAGCAGCAAAACCTCTTTCAGAACATCGCTACGAATTTCACTGCTATGGTTGTCCCGTCCTTGGCCAAGGGTGGAATCCTTGCTGATGATATGGGACTTGGTAAAACGCTTCAAGTAATTAGTCTTATTATGGAGGGTGGTCCAGGAACAACTCTCATTATTGCTCCGGTGTCTGTCATGTCTAATTGGGCTCAACAAATGGAACGTCATATCAAACCTGAGAACGCATTGAAGGTCTTGACGTACCACGGCCCAGGACGCAAACGAATGAAACCTCAAGATTGGGCACAATATGATGTTGTCATTACCACATACGGTATGCTAGTCTCAGAAGCTTTCCAGAAAGGCAAAGAACTTAAAAGCCTTCCTACGAAGGAAGGCTTATTCTCCATCAAATGGGGTCGAGTTGTACTGGATGAGGGTCACACGATCCGTAACCATGCTACCAAAGCTGCCCTTGCGGCCACGGCTCTAGATTCAATCGCCAAATGGGTCTTGACGGGAACTCCAATCGTCAACAATATCAAAGACCTATACTCCATGCTCAAGTACCTCGGAATCACAGGAGGTCTTGAGAGGTCTGAGGTATTCAATGCTGTTCTCACGCGTCCACTCTCTTACGGCGACCCAGGCGCTGAGAAGATTTTGCAATCTATCATGATCAACATGTGTCTAAGACGAAGAAAAGATATGAAGTTTGTTGATTTGAAGCTCCCTGAGCTTAAACAATACGTCCACCGTATCACTTTCCGAGATGATGAAAGAGAAAAGTACGATGCATTGAGGTAAGTAAATACATATCACGACCATTGCTCGATACAGCCAAGAGAATATATCATACCAGAAGTCCTACAATCATCAAGTTAACTGTACAACTTTCTGGCATGATGTCGACGTCGGTTGCAAAGAGCAATGACCCTTCCCCTACATCCAAACCATCGTCAACCTTCAAGAAAAAGACTAACTCCCTCCCAGAGACGAAGCAAAACTCATGGCCCTTTCCTACACCAAATCCAACCAAAAAACCATCGCCTACCGCCAAGTCCTCGAGGTCCTCCTGCGCCTACGACAAGTATGCTGCCACTGGAAGCTCTGCGACACCCGAATCACCGACCTCATGGCCCTCCTCAAAACCGAGGGAGCCGTAGAACTAACACCCGAAAACCGCGCCGCTCTCCAAGACCTCCTACAAATCAGCATAGAAAGCCGCGACGAATGTTCCATCTGCCTGGACGAACTCCACAACCCCGTCATCACAGCCTGCAAACACGTCTTCGGACGGGAATGCATCGAGCGCACCATCGAACTGCAACACAAATGCCCGATGTGTCGCGGCGAACTCCTCGACACCAGCTCGCTCGTGAATCCCGCGGAAGAAAAAGGAAAAGAAGACGAAGAAGAAGACCTCGACACCAACACCCAAAGCTCCAAAACCGAAGCCCTCATGAAAATCCTCCAAGCAACCCTCAAAGACCCCCACTCCAAGATCATAATCTTCTCCCAATGGACCTCCTTCCTCTCCCTCATCCAAACCCAACTCGACACCGCCTGCTTACCCTACACTCGCATCGACGGCTCCATGCCGCCCTCACGCCGCGACACCGCACTACAAGCCCTCGAATCCGACCCCAACTGTCGCATCATGCTCGCCTCTCTCGCGGTATGCTCCGTCGGCCTCAACCTCGTCGCAGCTGATACGGTCATCCTGGCGGATTCGTGGTGGGCCCCTGCGATTGAGGATCAGGCTGTGGACCGGGTGCATCGGCTTGGACAGACGAGGCCGTGTACGGTGTGGAGACTGGTGATGGAGGGGAGTGTTGAGGAGAGGGTGTTGGATGTGCAGGCGGAGAAGAGGAAGTTGGTTAGTACGGCTTTTAGAGAGGAGGGGATGGGGAGGAGGGAGAAGAATACGAGGATGGGGGATATTTTGAAGTTGCTTGGTTAGAGGGTGCTGGGTTGATGCTGTGGTGTGGTTTCTTGGAGGATACATGAGAGTTCTTGCCAGGCTTGGTTTTGGCGTTGGCTTTCAAGGGTTGTTGTTGTGGATACATGGTATGGTAAGTAAGTGCCTCACGGCTTAGTGTTGTTGTTGTTGTTGTTATTATCATTGTATCATCTCGCTTACCTAGTTAGGTTAGTCTCGCGCTACCTTTCCTACCATCAAATTCAGATCAGATCAGATCATTTCCAATCTCCATAATCTTTCCCCCGACGACCTGGGGGTTGTAATAAAAGTCCTGTACTCGTACTGTACTCGTACCTGTAACCTTACTTTCCACTATAGTAGTATATCACCAAATGTAGTAAAACTCTTTACGCTCTCCACCCTTCAAATTCATAATCTATAGTATAAGTCTTATATCCCTATAACCATCACCACCATCAGCTACCATCTAACACCCACCTACCTATCACAGTACAGTACAGTACAGTACAGCCCTCCTAATCCTATTCCTAACCCCAATCCCATACAAACCAATCCACAACCCCCAAATTCCCAACCTTCCACCCTACCTACCCTGTAGTCCAAACCCCAAACCATAACCCCCAAACCCTTAAACCGCAAACTGCATACAAAAATCCAAAAATCCACAAAAAGAACCCTTTCAAAATCTATGAACTACCTATGAACCATAACCGCTAAACCCAGTAACCCATATCCCATCCCATCCCATCCCATCCCATCCCATCCCATCCTCTCCTCCAAAACACCATCTAACAATCCAACCAAACCCCACCTACCCAAATCAAGATTCCTAGTTGACTATAGTCTCTATAATATAGTGTCACCTCATCACCTGATACATCCCCTTACTACAAAACTGAAAAGCCCGCCCTATACCCAATCGAACCATCCCGGGAGGGAAAAAAAAACAATTCATAACACTAACACCACACAAAAAAAAAGAATTCATCAACTACATTCCTATAACTAAATCATTCAATTCATAAGTATTCATATTCATATTCATAACCCCCACCCCAACCCTCTCCTCTTTCTTTCCTTTCTGCCGAAACATTCCCTAGCACTACCTATACTTGGTATAACACAGCTACTCGATATCTAGTTACCATAACATAACATAACACAACAAACCCAATTCGCTACATGCATGTAACCAACAGCTTAGAAGCCAAACCCCGAAAAAGAAGAAACCCCCAATCCAAGCCGTTCCAAAAAACCAAAAACCAATGCCAGATACCCCCCCTACTTATCAATTCAACCAAATAAGTAAGTGAGTACCAACCAACCAATTCCACCCAAACCAGTCATAAAAGCCCCCATTCCAAACTAAACCCCAAAAATTCCAAAAATCCAAAAATCCATAAAAAAAAACATCACATCCGTCCATTCATCATTTTCCCATTTTCCCATATTCATATTCCCATTCCCAAAAAGCTCTTTTCTTTACTCATGAGATATCACTAGATTTTCATTCGCCCATCTCCATCTATGTCTTGGGTATCGTATCCCCGCCCCTGCCGTGAGGCATATATATATGTATATCATATCGTATGGGATACTGTTGATAATGATAAGTAATCATATCCCAGAAAGTGATCTGATCTAGATGATGAAAAGGGGTGATAGAAGGAGGGATTCGTTTACCTGTTTACCTCCCTTTTCAAATCTCAGGAAAGTCCCCATGTCTGCCAGGAACGTGACATGGAAGGTTCGCCTTCCATCTCTAATCCCCAACCCTTTCCCCTCCCTCAAAATCCAAGACTTCATCCAAGAGAAACCTCTCAGATCCCACTTACGAAAACTACCCCAACCATATCTAAAAATCCCCTCCTCTTTGGATCCAAATCAGATCACACAGTAACATGCATACTCATATGCTCCACCGCATCCTGAATACTCTTCATCCAGCGATGATTCAAACAATACGGACACTTAATCGGCTGTTCGCCCACGGCTCTCAATGCTGCGCTCCCCCTCTCGGGAACCACAGGCGTCACCACCCCCGCCGCAGTATGTAGTGTGAAATGGGGACTGTGTTGCTGCTGCGGGTTATGATTGTTGACCGTTGGGGTCGAGACACTGACCCCGTTAGTATTAAGCTCGCCGAAGAGCTGTTGATTCGCCGTCTCGTTTGCGCTTTCGGAGCCGCCTCCTAGGCCATCGAGAGAGCCGGGTGGGTTGTGGGTGTGAGAATGTGAGTGGGCGTGAGCATGTGTGGATTCTTGTCCTGGACCTTGATTCTGGTTTTGGTTTTGACCTTGTTGACCGTCCCCTTCATTCGATCGTTTCTTCAAGATTTCCGTCTTGGCCCGTCGACACTGTTGTAAATGGACTTCCTGTCCATACTCCCTAATCAAACAATCCCTAATCTCCATCGGCGTCGTCTCCTTCTGGATATTCATAACCCTGGGCAGAATCTCCATCAAAAACGGCAATCTAGACGCACTATTCCTCTGCACTTTAGGAAGAACAGGTAGCCCACCCGCTCCCCCAACATCCAACCCATTCCCCCCTCCATTACTCCCCCTCCCCTCAACCGGCCCCAAAACCCTCGCACCCCCCATAATATTCCCCTCCTCATCCTCTCTAATCCCCACCTGTCCCCCAATCCCCATCCCATGATTCGCAGGATGTCCCCCCACACCCACATTAACGCCTCCTCCCACGCCCCCAATATTCATTCCCCCCATGGGGCCATTAATCCCCATACTGGGCACCATGCCCCCCGTCCACTCAAGTCCATTCAAACAAGTATGTCGATCCTTCAACACCGTCACCCTCGCAAGCGGTTCCCGTCCATTCTTCCGCTCCCAATTACATCTAATGACAAAGGGACAATTCGGATCGCGTTTACAGCCCACACGCACACGACCCGTATCCGACTTTAGGATCCGGGGCTCGAAATGCGCTTCGATCGCCCAAGCGTGGAGGGCCTCCTTAAAGGCTTTCAGGGTGGGGAATTCCTGTCGGAGTTCGAGGGGCGGCATTTTTGGGTTTGTATATCGTGGTATCGTATCGTGTATTTGGTATCGTGAAGTGGTCGTCGTGTCGTGAGGCGAGAGGTGGAAAGGAACGAAGGGGTATATATGCAAGTCTTCGCTGTGATGTGGTCACTTCCTCTCGTCTTGTCGCGCCTCAGTATATCCTCGATCCTCTCTCCTGCCTTCACTCACTCTATCCTTCCTCCCTCTCTCACACTCTCTTCAAAACACACACACAGAGGCGCAACCCGTGCAGCACACCCGCCGCCGTCAATCTATCGTGCACACCCACGATCGGAGACGAGCAGTCGCGAGGACGTAAAGTCGCGAGGACGACAAGCCGTTGCGCACTCCTCGGACGTTGCGTGGAGCGCAAAGAGAAATCGCACCGAGCCAGGTACTCGTCGATCCACGGGGATGATTCTCGCTCGCTCCAACAAACCCCAAAGGCGAAGTGAACCGACCGTGTACGAGTAGCTCCGTACAGTAAGGGATGTTGATTTTCGCGAGGGTAGAGAGGGCTGGTGCTGGGTATGGGAAGATGATGGGGAGATGGGGATGGGGCAGTGAGGAGAGCAAGGCGAGCGAGCCACAGGCGAGCGTTTGACACCAGAGCGTTCCACACCACAGGCGAGTGTACGAGGACCGTACCGTAGCTAAGAATCACAAGCTGCACCAGGACGAGCACGTAACCACCACGGGTAAATGCACGACGAAAGCGAATCCTGGAGACTACATGCATAGACGGAGCGAGCCTCTTACTTCTACGTTCCGGTACGGGGTACAGGTCCTATCGCTTTCTTACTTCTACTTTCTGGGCAGACTACTTGGCTTGGTACAGTATCGTACCGAGCGTACTCGTATGCTGGGCAGATAATAAGCACGTTAACATCAACATCCACATTCCAGAACCACAAGCCCACCACGCCTATTCAGCGCCAGGATCAAGAACCCCGAGTTCCGTACTTGAAAAGAAGTACCTAAGATAACACTACCAATTTTGTTTACGGAATAGAATAGGAACACTAGAACCATCACACTCACAAGACCAGGAACAAAATAGGAATCTCCAGGCCAGTTACGTTACTTACTTTCAACGGGGCCGGCCGATTACTGTACCTGTAGAGAGGGGCGGTAAAGATGTCAATAATAATGTGGCACAGCACGAGCGTGGCCAGACATGGTCTTGTAGATCTATTTTAGGGGCATCAAGAAACACCACCACAAATCCACAAATCCACAATCCACAAATCCACACCACATGTCACCAATCCCACCAAGCCTTCACTCCTACTCGTACCTAGTGGCTAGTAGTAGTAACTTAAATTTACTTTGTACAAGTAGCAAAAAAAGTGGCAATTACCCTACTATTACTACTACCCATTTAATACTACCCATTTAATACTACCCATTTAATACTACTAAATACAGACCTATACTTTTCATCTATAGTATTTATATACCTCTACAACCCATCAAATCATCCCTCCCTATAAATACCAAACACCCCAAAAAAAGCAAAAAAAGAGAAAAGAAGAAAAAAATCAAAAAAAGAAAAGGTACCTATAGCATCCCAGGGTACCTAGGGAATACGGGCCCGCTATCCCAAACCCAATTAGAACAACACTTCCGACGACACCCAATCATCACACAACACCTTCTCAAAATAGACAAACAGCACGCCAACCAACCAACCAACCAATACCATCCCCAAAAGGAAGGTATATAAGGTGACCATCACAACACATCAAAGATAGTAGGTAGGGCAGGGAGTAATTTTACTTTCAATCTCGATTCGATCATTCATTGCTCTCTCTCTCTCTCTCTCTCTCTCTCTCTCTGAATTAGCCATCATCACCTTCATGTCATAGCTAAAGCCACTCTCTCCCTTTCCTTCGCCCCTTCCTTCGCCCTTCCTTCGCCCTTCCTTCGCCCTTCCTTCGCCCTTCCTTCCCCTCCTTCCATCACCCATCATCAATTTCCATCAAATATATGATATAATTCAATCCCAACCACCCCCGCAGTGTTCATCAAAATCGCACCCATCCGTCCCAACCCACCCCGTCATCCTTTTTCCCTAGGTACGTAACAAAAGAATCCTTGGTATGTCCAGCTAGCGTCCGAAGAAAAAAAGAAAACAATATGCCCTTGGAATATCAAAGCAAAAGAAGAAAGGACCACTAAAACCCATATAACGCCGCTAAACCCCCACCCATGTTCGTTCCTTCGTTCCACGTCCATCCTCTCCGAAAAAAAATTGATTTTCGCTACCAAAAAAAGAGATGGCAAATTTGTTGCACCTCGCAAGATCTAAAATAGTGTGGTGTTCACTGGCCATTTTCATCAAGGAATGAGCTCAGCTATTACCGCTCAGAACTTTCTGTACACAGAAGCAGAGTAAGAGGTTGTAAGAGTGTCGAGTCGAATCAGTTGTATTCCACATAAATGATGAGTTTGTCATTTCGGTTCAAGGCAGTATCAAGATCATTATCGCTGATCAAGTTTGGTCGGTCTCCACTTTGCTCATCTTTGTAGTAAAGAGCAATTTCATCGCCTGGTTGGATCTTTAGACGATCCCTAATCTTCTCGGAAAGTTGTTGGAACGAAATATCCTGAGGTACCCGAACAGCAATGAGGTCGTCCCCAAAGTATATTTTAACCTTCATTGCCGCAGCTGGTGGTTGACCGCTAAGACCGGGAGAAACTGATGCATTCGATGGCTGGGAAAGAGAGGAGAGTTGGCGACCATTTCCATTTACAGAGAGCGAGTTCTGATTTCTTTGATGCGAAGACTGTGCTGGTGCTGCTGACAACCCTCCATAACCACCGCCCCCATTCAAGTTGCCTCGAGAGGATTGCCGTGACACTCCATGGGACGGTGACTCGTTCGAAGACTGTTGTGATCCCCCCGACAATCGGTACTCTTCGTCCGCCGCGGTCGGGTCCATCTCGTAATCTCCTTCTCGCGGCGCAAAGAATTGCTTGACCAATTGGCATCTTGAGATATAGGGTGGTTGTGTTAGAAGATTTTTAACATAAGCGTCAAGATTGTGCTGTCGTCCTTCTGTGATGGCATCGGTGACATAGTTGACGGGCCCAGGCATATATGGCAAAGACCTCTTTTGCGTACCGGTATTTCCTGCTTCTGCGGGGAATTCTGTTAAAAGTGCGATTTGGAAATCGTAGAAATCTTCATAATATCGAGACAATTCCCAGTGTCGTCCATCCTCCAGAGCCGCCTCGATAACGAACCAATATTTGTCCTCCGCAAAACAATAACGAGGTATCCGCGCCGATATCGGGGCATAGAGTTGTGATGACGATTTGGAAGCGTAAGGATTTTGCTGTTGTTGGAGTGGTCTTGCCTGTTGCGATTGTCGAGGTTGTTGCTATTTCATATTAGTGTTGCCCAGTTGCTGACGCAATTTCAAAACTTACATATCCCTGCCCATTTTGGCTCTGGCGACCGTTTTGCTGGTGTTGTAGACTCAGGCGGTCCATACTTTGCTCCATGCTCTGCTGCTGAGAATTTGGTACCTCAAACTTGCCCAGGGTGATACTACTATTTTTATAATCCGCTGCCATCTTTTTCCATTCTTCAACCTTTGGTACGCCTGCTCGTGTAACTGCCTCTTGGGCATCTGGCACCGCTTGACCAGATGTCATATCTCGAATTTCGATGAATGATACGGGGATCAATCCTGGGCCTCCCAATCTTCCTATAGGTTTTGCGACAAACCATTCTGGGTTGGATTGGGCAATTACGATAATGGCCTCTCCTGCCTTTGCGTCCAATTCATCCGGCCGTTCGGCGGCGAAATCATACATGACAATTCCGTAAACCATTGCACCGGTACCTTTAGGGCTGAAAGGGCTGGATTTAGAGGCTCGGTTAGATTCTCCACCCAGTGTTCCAGAGCCCGAAGTATCAGAGTAGCCCGAGTCGTGGTCTGGTAATCTAGCGGATTGTGGGGATTTGTCAGATTGACCGCTATCGCGTTCGGTCTTCCCAAGGGCCTGGAAGTAGGCGACAGGTACTAGTCCACGAGCATCAGGGAGCGCTGGATTACAAGCCTCGTACCAATCCGTATCATTCTCTCGACCGATAACATGGAAAAAATCGCCTTTCGAAAAGCCCAATTCCTGGCTCGACTGCGCCTCGTAATCGTAAATGGCACGAATTACCTAGGGCAAATGGTCAGCTTTACGATGCAGGTTTCTCGGTGGCGACATTTACCTTTTTCGGAGGCTCTATGGAGACGGCAGATTTTGGAGCGATTGAAATGTGATGCGGCCTATTATCCTTCTCCCCTTTGATGCTTCGTCTGAGTGCCTAAAGTGGAATGTGTGAGCTGATAGCCTTTTATTGCGACCCCGCGCCGTGAACCATGGAGGCAACAACGTACCTTCATCTTGCGAGTGTTCTCTTTTCTTCACCACACCGCACTCCCAGTGGGAAAAGTGAAGATGATATCTCCCTCCGAGAGCTTGTCTCCTTTGGAACCGCGAAATGTGATGGTCACGGACTTTTGGGGCGAATGTCGCCAAGGCCGATGGGATTCGTGATGTGCCGACACGGAGAGATTGTGGACAGAGATGAGGGTGAGGTGGAAGATATGGAGGAAAGCGACGTGACGATATTGGCGAGGGCGATGCAGGTGGAGTGTTGATCGAGGCAGAGAGATGGGAGGTGAGGTTGATCAGAATACCGGTAGGATGGGTTTGTTGTTTAGAGAGAATGGAAGGGAGAAGAGAGAATGAAGGCAGGCCTGCTTTGGTGGGTCGGCGCGCGACAGAGGGATTGACGCCGCTTAGAAGAACGGCAGCGAGTGGTTCAGTCTTTGTGACCAGGGGTGGTGGCTGAAAAGAGGTCCGGTCAAGGGAGGGCGAGGGAGAGAGGGGAGGGGCTCGAGAGTTTGCCGGGTTCTTCTTTGTTGGTGTAGAGTGGCCGTGGCTGGCTCGACAGGGCTAGATGTGCAGTGGTATTAAGGGGAGGGGGGTGGACGGGTGAAGGTGATGGTGAAGGTGATGGNAGAGTGGCCGTGGCTGGCTCGACAGGGCTAGATGTGCAGTGGTATTAAGGGGAGGGGGGTGGACGGGTGAAGGTGATGGTGAAGGTGATGGTGAAGGTGATGGTGAAGGTGATGGTGAAGGTGATGGTGAAGGTGATGGGTATGGTGTGGTGTGCAGTGGTGAAGAGTGGTGATGGGAGAGGTGGTGGTTGAGTGAGGATCTTCCATATAGGGAGCCTACCTACGGAGGTACTTGGAAGTAATACTCTATCCACACGATGGGAATAGGGGGAGGAGCACCAGCGTCGCCGCAGCAGAAGCATACGTAGTCACTGGTTCTACTGTAGGCACGCAAAAGTCCACGCTGAAATAGGCATTTCCGGTCAGGTATGATTTATGGACTCGGGGGGCCACGGTGGAATGGTTCTCTGCCAGTCGTTGGGCTGGTGCAGATGGGAAGAAATTGGGCCCAAGATGGGCAGGATGGGGATTGGGCATTGATAGAAGCGCGTCTTCCAATCACATCGCACCTGCACTCTACAAAGTATGGAGTACCAGTAGGTACTCGAGTATCTCATCAATATATGTTCCCCCTGGCAGCATTGTTGTTCAGGCTCAACCCACGCAGGCTGATCGATACCGTGGTAGCCCTGAGCTACTTACACCTACTGTACTGTACAATGTCTACCTACTGGGAACTGTGGAGAGGAAAGACCCTGTACTGTAGCAAGCTCCTTGGGGGATATTGCTTGCTCTGGGCAACGTGAGTGCATGAACCACACTCAGATCCATTACTATCACACTCTTACTCCTCGCACTACTCTCATGCCAGCCCATTCTCACTCAAGAAGCCCTCGGAGCAGTCGGAGCGATCCCTTCAGATCCGACTAAACTAAGGGCATCCATCATCTCTACACCCGAGTGTGTGATGTACGAATAGCGTATCGCATTCATCTGCCCAAAACACCGCGTCATTGGCGATGAAGTAGTTTCTGTACTCGAGTAGAGGATCAGCCACCAGCAAATCCCTTCCAACGGTTTCTATGGAGAATAGAGTTGAGTAGAGTAGAGTTAGTGCTCGGCTCCCCACCACTGACGTCTCGGTGCTGGGCGCTAGATATTGCTACCACTATGAATCGCCACACCAGCCACACTACTCTGCTCTTTTCCCTGCTGACAACAGCTACCTATGTAGACGCTGCTACTCTCCGTACTGTAACTATTGTATACCACAGCACTGGATTCATCAAAAGTCTCATGACAGGACATGCAAATGTTGTGCTCGTACTTCTACACACTCCCCACGCGCATCCCATCTACCCACACCCACACCACATCCACACGCCATGCCGTCAACTCCTGCATCTTTCTGCAGGTCCGAGATGAATCCTCATCTTAACTCTCACCATCACCCTCAATCCGTCCCATGGCCGTCGCCGTGGCCGTAGCTGTACAGAGTAACGGCTTTGCATTGTTCTCGATAGTGCGTCCTAACCGGTGGTGAAAACTGTCCATGTAAGATACTTTGTAGCTTCCAAATCCAGTTCGGCAAATACTTCAATTCCGATCCACAGCCATCGATCCCAGAATCCCAGCCGAACCACTCTATACATAGCCATCCTCCTTCTTCTCCTCAAAGCGGCGATGCATAATCCACCTGCAAGGCTTAAATGGGCAAAGGGCAAAGGGCAAAGGGGAAAGGGCAGGAACCGCCTGGAGCTCTCGGCCTTAGGGGCTTGGACGGGAAGTGGAAGTGGAAGTGGAAGTGGAAGACGCAAAAGAAAAGCTTTCACGCGAGCCTGCACTTTCCAACATCTCGATGCGCTGGATGAGCCGTGAGGTACCGATGACCAGGTATTCCCTCCCCCTTCACCGTCACTTCAAGCGATTGAATTCGGCCCCGCCTAGTGTGCTGCGCCGCGGACCTTCCGTGAAACAAAAACGGGTATTCGTATGCCCCTCCTGAGCCCCTCCAATACTTAATGCGCTGTCTTTGCTCTCAAAGTACATGATCTTGACCAAAGAAAACAGCAAAGACCCTGGATAGGGCTGATGATGTTGACTGAGGGACCGACACCGAGACCGAATTGATCGATTGCTCCTTTCTGCAAAAACAATACAGTATAAGCAACCCAGGACTTCTCGCTTCAGCTTCTCGCTTCTCGCTTCTTCCTTCTAACCCCTCAGCTGCCGTTCATGAACATTCCACAGCCAGTACCGCGATTGATCTTCATCCATCACGCGTTCATACTGTTACTCACAGAAACCCCATCGTCATCATTCTCCATAACGCATATTCATCCTTTCCCGCGGCATCCGTCATATCCAAATATAAAAAGACTCCACATGCCGTCGTCTTCTAGAAGGACAGCCTCCCCACGCCAATGACGAGTTATCGCGATAAGAGCAAAACCAGTCCCTACCAGGATGACACGAGCCTCGGATATAAAAAATAGACTTACCCACATGGCCCAAAGAAGCACAGCACAGCTTCTGTAACAAATCATGCACGCGGATCACCCTCTTCCCGAACTTCAACACCATCATTTTCCCTTGGTAAGATCTTCCCACATGGACCACTCACACCCTTCACGCTGCAAAAACCCCAGCATTTCCATCATTCTCAGCCCTGATCGCGGAGAATTAACCATCGGACGCCCCGTTTTGACATCTTGGAAGTTGGAATGCCTCGTGGGAATGGAAGGCATGAGTTGGCGAAGGATCTGAAACATCCTCGTTGTTCGCCGAGGGGCCAGTTTTTCTCTCTGTGGTCCAAAGTTAAAAACTTACGAGAATGGCTCTTGAACGTCTATTTTTGCGACTCTTGTTTCCTTTTTTCAATAACTTATATAAATTACTCGAGGCAAGTCAAGTGTCTTGAACATGCTCTTGACATCTTGTCGTGTTCTCCATTTCGAGTTGACGAGTTTTGTGGTTCATGCAATTTCGATTCCCGCGCTGGTTGTACTCGAGTCCGAAGTATATTTATCCTTTCCTCGCTCGAAGGAGGCTCTTCCGTTGTTGGAACTTGATACCCCGCATATTGACACTTGGAAGGAAGGGAGTCAGTGCGGAACCAAGACCCAAGGATCACTCGGTGAACCATGCGGGCACCAGTACGAGAGTAGTAGCGCGCCCATGTTTGATTTTACGGTTGGTTGGTTGTCGATCCCACCCCTTTACACACGCGCATCATCACGTTTTACAGTATATACAGGGTATATCCTCATGATCCTCATCTTAAAGGTATAGTTAGTGAGTGACCTCCCTTCCTTTCCATTTTCAAAATCGGGATGCATTCCTCTTCCTCTTCTTCCTAACAAGGAGAAAGATTGTATAAACGTCTGTACCAACCCGTTCGACATACTCATATCGAAATTACCTTCTATATAGCTCTCTGGAACCTTTCCTGGTAAGATGGATTACTACAATTTGAAATTCGTTCTTCCTTTCTTTCTTCCTGACTTGCGTACTTCCTTATGATTCATCCTAATCCCCTCTTCATTCCACACAGCAATTTGAGAAACCATAAAAGATTGGACAGAGTCCTTGTTATGAAGCGACCAGACGACGATTGGTATGAAAACAGCCTTCAGTCATTTTGTACGCTTACGGAAAAGCCATCAATAGAAAGGACAGAATGGTGAGTGGATATCTATCTTCCTTTACGGAGGTACTTACTTGCCCATCTTTGATCTGAACTTTAGGATGTTGTCGAAGTTTGTGCTGTTGTCGAATTTTTTTGGTTACATTCGTTTGCGGAGTAGAGTTAGAGTTAGATTAAGAGGGGTTTGATTCACTGTATTGTATTGTGGTAACTTTACAGATCTTTGAGTTGTCTACTTGAGGAGCCTGTGTGTATGGCGTGGCTAACACCAGCGAACGAGAATTCCCAATCTTCGCTGACGCGGGAACTTCTCTTACACACTTAGCTAGGGGTGTTGTGTACTTCCTTTTATAATTTTATTTGTTTAATCTTGATTTTTTGGTAATGGGGTTTGACGGAATGAGTCTGTTGGTAAGGAATCATGATACTTTTCTTATTGATACTGATACTTTGTAGGAGTAAAAGTAAAAGTAAGAAGGTCTTTTATGGATGTGCTAGTGCGTGGTCATTGTGTAGAGGTGTTAAGCTGGATTTTTAGATTTAAATAGTTATTATAATTAGATTTAAAATCAGATTTAAATTTATAGATATATTAAATAGATAAATAAATAGATAAATAAATAGATTAGAGGACTTTATAAAGATTATAGGATTTATAGAGATTATAAGGATTATGGGGATTATAAAGTATGTATTTAAGAGTAAGAGTAAGATAAAAAAAAAGAGAGAGATTATATATATCTTTTATAATTTTATTTTTTAAATCTTAATATTTTAGTAATAGTAGTAGAGTTAAAAAAATAGGTCTATCATTAAAGAATTATAATACTATTCTTATTAATAATAATACTTTATAAGAGTAAAAGTAAAAGTAAGAGGTTCTTTTATAAATATAGGTAGGCAGTTATTATATAAAGGTATTAAACTAGATTTTTAGATTTAGATAGTTATTGTAGTTAGATTTAGGGTTAGATTTAGCGTTATAGATATATTAGATAGATAGATAGATAGATTCAAGGACTTTATAGGAATCGTGGGGTTCGTGGATCGTGGATCGTGGATCGTGGATCGTTGATCGTGGTATGTGGTATATGTGAGAGTGGGAGTGAGAGTGAGAGGGAGGGGGATTGTTGAAGAGGAGGAGAGGAGGTTTTAGGATGTTGGTTTGTGGGTTTTGGGGTGGGAGGGTTGGTGGGTTGGTGGGGAGCGGAGATGGAGATGATGGTTTGGGGTGGGGTGTTGTTGTGTTGTGGTTGGTAAAGGGAGGGTAGAACGTTAGATTAACTTGGTTTTCTGATGCAAGGTGGAGAGGCGAGGGATGGTGAAGTTTCGGTGAGGGGGATAGGGGATTGGGATGAAGAGGAGAGTTGGAGGTGTGAAGATGTTTGTTTATTTATTTAACGAAGGAAGCGTTTGATGCTATACGACTGAGTGGATATCGCATCAAGGTAAGATGATTGTAGGAAGTCATAAAGATACTAATATCTTGAACTTCATACATATACACTATCTCAACTCTCAATCTGGAGTTAATAGTAAAGTCATGCCAAAATCAGAGGTAACCCTAACCCTAACCCTAAGTTAGCGTACAATAAACCTATGCACGGGGATCTACAAAGGAAGTTCGCGCCACTATAACTCCCCGAACCCTTAGAACAGAACAATCCTTAATCATATTCCCTGATTATCAAATCTCCCCAAGCGATTCAAGAAACTCTACTCGTATAGGAGTTATTTATAAGAATACCCAAAGAATCCTCAGGAAGACGCAAGGATATGGCTCAGGTGTCAAGACTCGACATGGTTGGAGAGGTCGTTGACTAGAGTGAAACACCATTGTTTGATACTACGGATATACTGCAGTAGATTACGGAGGGGGATTTGTATAGGTAGAAAGTGAGGGAAGATAGAGAAGAGAGGAGAGTGAGATTGTCAGTGTTTTTGAGAATTTGTGTTTACTGTCGCTGTTGATTTATTAATAGTGTTTGTTTCGAGGACAAAAAGGATTTTAGGAAAGGACGGGGTAAGGGAAGGCTTAGTATCTATAGCAAGATGATACTCGAGAACTCGAGGACGAATTTATTTTCTGTTATAAGATAGCTTCAGTTATACCTTCGTCGACCTTCTTCGTTGGGTTTATATTTATAAAGGTGTTTAAGTCTGCTGTTCTATACTAGCTACTAGACTGCTGCTATTTTGATAGTTATGTTTGATTTTTGTTTGATGTGACCTTTATCTTTATGCAGTATATATATCTATAGTAATTAACGACCATACCTACAGAGCCTTACATCCTAATCAACATTAATCGGAATCTTTGTGAGTTGTCGAAAGATGCTCGGTCGTCGAATTGTTGATAAACATTCGCTTCTGAGTCAAGCATTAGTGGTGGGACACTACTGGATTAGTTACATTCCAGTGTAATCAGCATTAGCAAGAGCCCATCAAAATTGAGTGAATTATCGCCAAGATCTATGCTAAGTTGCCGATTCTTGGTCACATCGGGCTCTTTCATTGTAGAAGGCAGCTTTAGCTTTGTGATAGTCTATGACAGACTTTCTGGCTTTTATCATGTATATTTATTTATTTATTTATTACTATTTAACGTCAGGCGGAATCTAACTCGCGTGGGCTAGGTCCTAAAAGTCCCATTGTTGGGCAAATGACGCTAGGGGGGTGCCCTAGGCTACAGGGGGTGTAAATGAAAGTGCGCTAATTTACAAGAGATAGTTTAAAGAGAAGCCCCACTTCCGGAACAGCTCTCATTCTGA